TGACATGGTCATAACCATTTCATTTCATAACAGCTGACATAACTTGTCATAACCTGTTATATGGTCATAACACTGTCATGACACATATATATAGACCTGTTGTGACATATTGCGTTATTTTATGGCTGGTTATGACACCTACATACGAGTGTCAAAACCCATAAAACCTACCACGAGGCAAAACATTCCATTACACCATAAACATGCTGTTGACATGTTATATATATATTTTTTTAATTGACCATATAAATGATCATTGTAATTGCGCACACATTGTTATTAGACATGCACCTACCCCAATGCTCTGTTGATGATGACTGCGATGAATGCAGGAGCAGATTTCAGGAGCAGGACAAGACACCCTCTTTTTGACTGATGACTGATATAAGGGCCTGTAAGTGACAGGCTTATCTGGCTTATATGATTATGATGCTTCTCGACAGTGTCAGTGTATTTTCTTAGTCCAAGTAAAGTGACACAGGATGGTCATAATGCTTCATGACTGTCATAAAGTATATTTAAAATAAAAACATAACTGTAAAGAATTCATTACAGCTAAGGATTTAAGAAACAAACTTTCAAACAAAAGGAAACGTAGCAGAAAAAATTTTTGAATAAATGTGGGTTTTGACACGTATGTACAGTAGGTGTCATAACCAGCCATAAAATAATGCAATATGTCACAACAGGTGTAAATATATGGGTTATGACAGTCTTATGACCATATTATGACAGATTATGACAAGTTCTATCAGCTGTTATGTCATATTATGACATGGTTATGACTGTGTCATAACGTGTTTTACACTGGGCGTCAGGTGTTAACCAAAAATGTGTAGGGTGTCAGCAAATATAATTAAATGTTTACACTATTCTATGGCAAAGATACTTATATGTCTCCCCTTTCATCTGTCTGGTGTTAGCTAGTTACTGGCTAGCTAGGTCTTCATCTGTCTGGTGTTAGCTAGTTACTGGCTAGCTAGGTCTTCATCTGTGTCTGGTGTTAGCTAGTTACTGGCTAGCTAGGTCTTCATCTGTCTGGTGTTAGCTAGTTACTGGCTAGCTAGGTCTTCATCTGTCTGGTGTTAGCTAGTTACTGGCTAGCTAGGTCTTCATCTGTCTGGTGTTAGCTAGTTACTGGCTAGCTAGGTCTTCATCTGTCTGGTGTTAGCTAGTTACTGGCTAGCTAGGTCTTCATCTGTCTGGTGTTAGCTAGTTACTGGCTAGCTAGGTCTTCAGCAAGCATGGAACAAAAGGGGGGAGGGTCATTCAATACTCTGATGCAGTTGTCATGTCAACACATCCATCAGTACTGCTGTGAATCGCATCACAAGAGACATGTCAAATGGGAGATGTATACAGAAAATGTACATCATTGATGCAATTTCAATGTTGTTTGAGTTGCTTTGTGTATCACCAAATTTGATGCAACACTGCATCCAAGTTTCTAGACATAGGCGTTTTATGAATATAAGCTCCCCACCAACTCGGCCTGTCTTTTCAAACTTCCTAGTAGTTAGCCTTGAGAGAAAAAGTACTTTCTCAAATTTTAAGCATTTCTATCTCCCCAAAAATATTATGGGTGATATTTTAGTCACTCAAAAGGCTATTTTACATGGGAATCAGAATGACTGTTCGGGACCTTTAAGATAGTAGCATGAATCATTATGTTCTGCTCAGCTCAGTGAAGAGCTAAATAATTGAAGTAATGAATCCGAGCCTCAGTGTTATCACCTGTGGAAGGCGGGGGTTCCAGCTTGGCATGGTTTTCATTGGCCTTGTCAGGCGTGATTTAAGTTCTTCAGTTCAGCTTCCCATAATGATGCGTTGTACAGAGAGTACTGACTGAAAGAGAACTCAAGCTGCCAAAAGACTTCAAAAATGTAATGGCGTTAATCACAGGATTTGCTGTGATTAATCGCAAATTCAGAATTTGCTCATATTGAGCTGTAATTTAAAGGGTAGGAAGCATGAGTATTTACTCACCAATGTAACAACACAGTGTGGCCAAAGACTTAGTTGTATTCACGATCTGGGTACCTAGAAGTACAAACATAGTTATATTTATTAACTTTTTTTCAGATATCTTCTAAACTACCCACAATGCGCTATTTCTCAACGTCATATGGAGGATCTACCAAGTTTGTATGCTAGCTCAAGCTCATGCTCTTCAAGGACTTTGTGGCTGTGTTATCTAATGGGAACCCGTTAGCATGGCAGGCTATGGTGCCTTCTTGCCGTGGGCTCAAAACGAAAGAGAAAATCATACCTGCTTGCTCTAATTGTGTAGTACCTCGTCTGTTTTGCTTTTTGTTTTGTCAACATTTCGGCATGTTCACTGTGAAGTAGGCTACGGGAGTTTTCAAACTTTTTCCACCTTGGCTTAGTGCTAACACGCTAGCTGACTGATGTGTGGAATCAATCTATTTTGGATTTTTCTCGCTATACAGTATAGCTATTGGATTTCCCTGACTCTCCCTTGGTCCGGTGAAGCGCCCGCCTCCCCCTCGATTTGGTAGCTCTCAGCCTGCACTCATTTAAAAGGATGGGCCTGCACTCTACCATCGGATGGGCCCCTGCCATCAATCTGTAAGTCTCTGCTCGCTCTTTGCTTTGAGCTGCGGTTATGTTTTAGTTGTGTTAGTTGTTTTCTAGCTGGTCTCCAGCAGTTGGGCTCTAGCTTGCCGACCATAACCTTGGTGGTTGGCTAGGCTAATAGCTAGTTGGCTAAATACCTAACATTAGCTGGCTGGCTAAGATAATTGCATATAGCGAACATTCTTTGATAACTGGTTAGATGGCATTATGCATTTCCAAAACATTGGTTTACTTTAATGTAGCTGTAAGCTAGGTGTTGATAGCAACTGGCTGACTGATTCAGTGCTAACGTAATGTTACTAGGCTGGTAGGGCTAATGTTACCAGGCTAGTAGGGCTAATGTTAGCAGGCTAGTAGGGCTAATGTTAGCAGGCTAGTTGGCTAGCAACATTGCAAGTCGATTTGTAACAAATTCATAAAGTATTTGCTTGTAAGTTGGCTGAACATTTCATTGAAACCAGTAGTCATGTGTGCAAATGATTTGGTTTAATTTTAAGTTATACATTTGAAGTAATTTCTGTTGGAGTTTACATTATAGGGAATAGGCTGACTTGCCGGGTCCTCCATATTACACCACAACCCGGAAAAACATTTTCCGACATGACTTTCGTCATTCTTCGGAATGCTGATGTAATAAAAACTTTAGAAAAGTGAGGTGTAACTTTGCATTGGGACTTTTGATGTGTATACTAATGCAATTCCATACAGTATGTTACGTTTATGCTACCTACCCTTTAATAATTTTTATACAAAAATAATTACAAGAATATTGACGTCTTGATTTTGCCCAAAGTAAATTTGGTAAATTGATAAAGAACACTTTCTTTACCCTCAATGTCAACTTGTTTTGACATCTCATTGTTGTTTTTAGCTGTATACAGTAGATTATGTATTTTGGATGTTTTCAGTGTATTTTGAACGCTTTCAGACAATGTGATTAATCGCAATTAAAGAAAATAAGTGCACTTAAATGTTAAGTAGTTATAACATACCAATAACACATACCAATATTATACATTTTAGTGTCGAATTAAAATGTTTATTTTTTTACCAATGTAAGAGGACTAAACGAGGAGACATTTACAACCAACACTCACTTGACATGTACAGACTTTGGCTAGCTCGACAGTTTGAATCCACCCCCTCAGTCAAATACTGACAATGTAGAAAAGTTGTCTGCATTGACTTAAGTAAAATTTCTCAGCAATTTAACAATTAACAGCACTTAACATCCTTCTTCATTGAAACAGCACTAACAACATTAACTAGGACACCTGTCTCTCTGCTGCTATATTTAAGGCTACGTCTTTACAATATGTAATTGCACTTTCAACCAGGATTCAATACATTTTGGTGACAAGGGAAAACCTACGGTGATTGCATGTATATCAATAAGCATTATTATAGTGAGAAATGCTTTAAGAGGTGGTGACTAATTACTGCATACAGTACGAGCGCAATGGGCAGCGTGAGAGTGTCTGGGGCTACAGAACAGACAGAGCATTGTGAGCACCTAAGAGATGATAGCTTTCAACCAATGACTGATTGGGCAACACTGGAAAGCCACAAACGATCACAATCAAGTGGCAGGGAATGATATGCAAGTTAGCATCCTAATATATTACCACTCAGGGAGATGGGGCAAGGTGAATATTCTTACCCCCCCACATTTTTTTTTTTTTTCACATGAGTGTACATTTATTTTCCCCTAGTATATTTTTTGTCAGAGCTACGCAACAAAAAACATGAGATCTATTTTACTACACAACAGTCATAGTAAGCTCAGTTCCCAGTTTAGTACAGTCTATTTTGCATTTAAACCCCAAATAACTGAAAAGTCAAAATCAACAAATAGTCCAAATCAACAATGAAATTAACAATAACTAAATCAGGACATTAAGGAAAGTAAACAATTAAAGAGATTCCAAATAAGTTAAAATTTTCACAACACAGATATCAGACGATCAGGCCCAAACTGACTGAACTACAATTACCTCAATGGGGGGGATAGACTTAAACCAGCATAGACAGTAGCCCTTCGGGAACCAACGAACAGTCTGATATGAGTCATCGCACAGTGTGATGATGTCATAAGAAAGGGCTGCCAGCCAGCCCACCGTTCTGTTTCTCTGATCCTCCCAGGAGACACTTGAGATGGTGCCAGAGCCCGAGATGGGTGGAGCTTTCCGTCATGTGGCTTTGGAACAACCATAGATTCGCCCATAGCTCCACCCATAATGGGATGCAGCACACACAGCCTTGCTTGAGTCACTGACCAGAGATCCCAAATGCCATCCTAACCTCCCACCAACACTCCCTGGTTCATCTTCCAGACTAGCCCCTCTCTCTCTCTCTCTCTATTTCCTTCTTTCTCTCTCTCTCTTTCTCGCTCTCCCTCTCTCTCAGAAGAAGGAGGAGTCGGATGAGAAGGCCCCAGCCAGCCTGAAGTCTTCTCTCATCAGGACACAGAAGAGACGTTGGGGGAGGGCCTTGGAGTAGGGCGCGGGCCGCGGGACACACGTACGTAGCAGGATCTCACGCCCTGCAGGGGGAGGGAAGTCTGGCACACTGGCACCTCCCATTGGCTTTTTGTCATCAGCTCCACCCCCACGTCCCGTGTCTTCATCCAATGGAGCCAATAGGGCAGCCTATGGGGGGCGAGGCAAATAGATGGGAGGAGTCAACGGCTGCGTTTAGACAGACAGCCCAATTCTGATCTTTTTTTCACTAATTGGTCTTTTGACCTATCAGATCAGCTCTGAAAATTATCTGATGTGGAAAGATCTGATGTGATTGGTCAAAAGACCAATTAGTGGAAAAAATACCAGAATTAGGCTGCCTGTCTAAATGCAGCCAAAGTGGCTAACATTCAGTTTGGCACAAAATGGAGAGTGGCTAACATTCATGTTGGCACAAAATGGAGAACGCTGAGCCCAACACACAGTACACTTTCTATAAAAGCCCAATAAAATGTGGAAACTGGACCACAATATATTTTTGGGCAGTCTAAGCATGACCTTAACACATACAACACTTTTACAATGTGAGTATAAGAGAGTATGACACCTGAGACTGAGAAAAACATACAACTCATTCTATCGCTCCATATTCTAAATCGTGGGGGAATTAAACAACCTTGACAGTGATCAGACCTGGCGCAAGTGAAAGCGGCAGGAATGGAAAACGACAGCAGCATATTAACACAATCTATTCTTACTGAGCAGGAACAAATTACATAAATTAGAAAGCTGATTACAAATTAACAAATGCCTTCCCACATCTCCCAAAACATTGTGTAAGGCGAGGAAAGGAGACGCATTTAGTGGATTGGAGCGATTTGGTGTGTGCTTCCAGATCAATGTATGCATTTGTTTTCGGTGGGGCACAGCAGAGCCCTGGAGGGATGGCAACACAAGAAAGCTACGCGACGCTAAGATCTAAAGCCAAAAGGGATCAAACACACCACAGCAACCTACCAATACTTACATAGTAAACCAGTAGGCTAAAACTAGTATTTACCAAACCAGCCAGAACACAGCAACCTACCACTCCTGAGTGTACATACTAAACAGCAGGATACCACTAACCTACTGTAATGTATACATTGAGTGTACAAAACATTAGGAAATTATTGAGTTGCACCCCATTTTGCCCTCGGAACAGCCTCAATTCGTTGGGGCATGGACTACAAGGTGTCGAAAGCGTTCCACAGAGATGCTGGCCCATGTTGACTCCAATGCTTCCCCCAGTTGTGGCAAGTTGGCTGGATGTCCTTTGGGTGGTGGACCATTCAAAATCAAATCCAATCAAACATATTTAGTAGATGTTATTGTGGGTGTAGCGAAGTACTTGTGTTCCTAGCTCCAACAGCGCAGTAATATCTAACAATACACACAAATCTAAAAGTAAAATAATGGAATTAAGAAATATATAAATATTAGGACGAGCAATGTCGGAGTCCGGAGTATAATTATATACACTACCATTCAAAAGTTTGGGGTCACTTAAAAATGTCATTGTTTTCGAAAGAAAATCATTTTTTTTGTCCATTAAAATAACATCAAATTGATCAGAAATACAGTGTAGACATTGTTAATGTTGTAATTGGCTACTGTAGCTGGAAACGGCAGATTTTTTATGGAATATCTACATTGGCGTACAGAGGCCCATTATCAGCAACCATCAGTCCTGTGTTCCAATGGCACGTTGTGTTTGCTAATCCAAGTTTATCCTTTTAAAAAGGCTAATTGATCATTAGAAAACCCTTTTGCAATTATGTTAGCACAGCTGAAAACTGTTGTGCTGATTAAAGAAGCAATAAAAAAACTGGCTTTCGAGACTAGTTGAGTATCTGGAGCATCAGCAATTGTGGGTTCGATTACAGGCTTAAAAGAACAAAGAACTTTCTTCTGAAACTCGTCAGTCTATTCTTGTTCTGAGAAATGAAGGCTATTCCATGTGAGAAATTGCCAAGACACTGAAGATCTCGTACAACGCTGTGTATTACTCCCTTCACAGAACAGCACAAACTGGCTCTAACCAGAATAGAAAGAGGAGTGGGAGGCCCCGGTGCACAACTGAGCAAGAGGACAAATACATTAGTGTCTAGTTTGAGAAACAGACGCCTCACAGGTCCTCAACTGGCAGCTTCATTAAATAGTACCCGCAAAACACCAGTCTCAACGTCAACAGTGAACAGATGGACAGACGAATCGAAGTTTGAGGTGTTCGGATCACAAAGAAGAACATTTGTGAGACGCAGACCAAATGAAAAGATGCTGGAGGAGTGCTTGATGCCATCTGTCAAGCATTGTGGAGGCAATGTGATGGAGGAGTCGGATGAGAAGAGGGTGCTTTGGTGGTGGTAAAGTGGGAGATTTGTACAGGGTAAAAGGGATCTTGAAGAAGGAAGGCTATCACTCCATTTTGCAACGCCATGCCATACCCTGTGGACGGCGCTTGATTGGAGCCAATTTCCTCCTACAAAAGGACAATGACCCAAAGCACAGCTCCAAACTATGCAAGAACTATTTAGGGAAGAAGCAGTCAGCTGGTATTCTGTCTATAATGGAGTGGCCAGCACAGTCACCGGATCTCAACCCTATTGAGCTGTTGTGGGAGCAGCTTGACTGTATGGTACTTAAGAAGTGCCCATCAAGCCAATCCAACTTGTGGGAGGTGCTTCAGGAAGTATTGGGTGAAATCTCTTCAGATTACCTCAACAAATTGATAACTAGAATGCCAAAAATCTGCAAGGCTGTAATTGCTGCAAATGGAGGATTCTTTGACGAAAGCAAAGTTTGAAGGACACAATTATTATTTCAATTAAAAATCATTATTTCTAACCTTGTCAATGACTACATTTCCTATTCATTTTGCTATATTTCCTATTCAAACTCATTTCATGCATGTTTTCATGGAAAACAAGGACATTTCTAAGTGACCCCAAACTTTTGAACGGTAGTGTATGTATGTGATGGGATGTATAGACATTATGGACATTATGTGGATAGAATATGTAGCATATCTGAAGAATAATTAGGATTCTTGATACACACACGGGAAACTGTTGAACGTGAAAAACCCAGCAGCTTTGCAATTCTTGACACAAACCGGTGTGCCTGGCAACTACTATCATACCCCGTTCAAAGGCACTTAAATATTCTGTCTTGCCCATTCACCCTCTGAATGGCACACATACACAATCCATGTCTCAATTGTCTCTAGGCTTAAAAATCCTTCTTTAACCTGTCTCCTCCCCTTCATCTACACTGATTGAAGTGGATTTAACAAGTGACATCATAGCTTTGAGCTGGATTCCCCTGGTCAGTCTGTCATGGAAAGAGCAGGTGCTCCTAATGTTTAGTGCACTCAGTGTATACAGACCTACCACTCCTTAGTATACATACTAAACCAGCAGGCTAAAACTAGTCTATCATAAACCAACCTCCACATCCACCAGAAAACACTTGTTTATCAACGCAGACCCATCGTCAGAGAATGAGAGCAAATGGACAAACAACAAAAAAAAAATGATTAGCGCTAGACTAACAGGTAGGTGGTTAGAAGAATAGATGGATGGGTGGAGGAGGAGAAGAAGAGGGGGAAGGTGGTTGGTAAAAAGGTCTGGGGGAGGTTAAAAACACGGTAAGTGGCATCTTCTCCTTTGGGTTATGGAGGTCTGGAAATTGCAGCGGTTCACTCTTCCAAACCATTACCAGAGAAATGACTGTAATCTTTGTCTGTATCCCTCCCTGGCTGCCTCAGCTAGCCTGAACCTCAGTGGCAGCACTGCTTGGCAGGTAGAAAGAGGGAGAAGACAACGTGGAGGGGGTGGTTGGATGGATGGACTGGGGGTGGAGGCAGCTGGGGTGGAGGGATGAACTAGGGGTGTAAAGGGGGGATAGGGAGTGTTGCTAGTGGTTACCTCATCACTGCTGTAGTCAGCGAGCTTGACATGGGTGACAGGCAAGCAGCGTTAGGAGACAAAAAGAAAAAAAACACAATACGATGGAGAGAACAAACAAACAGAAGAACAAACAACAAAACAACAGTCAGGCGATTAAAAAGAGGATTAGGTTCTGCTTGAGGAGACATGACATTCATTCCACCGAATGCATCACACTCAAGCTAGAGCAAGCGGCATAGCAATCAGACAACAATCAAACTAGTACTCTAGTCTTGTACTGGTAACAAGGGTCAGATCATTCAACAGATGAGGGGCAGGACATCTCTCCTCCCTTCTATTCTTCTCTGTCTCTCTTTCCCTCTTTCTCAAGAAACTCACCTCATTTGATTGGCTGATGATTTCATCTGATTTACATGTGCTTGGGATAATTACTAGCTTTCTATTGAGAGCTTGGCAAAACACAGGCTATAATTTAACACTCAGACATCTTGCCGGATAAAAAAAAAAAAAAGTGCTTGAAGGAGGGAGTGAGAGTTTGCTTAAATCTAACTATTTTTCACACTGTTTCTTCCTCCAACACAAGGCACAGGGAAGATAGCCAATACAAGCATTCATTCCCTGTTTGCATTTTGCTAGCAATTATTCTAAGGAACAGATCTGGGTCTGGGGCCAGGGACTAAATCTGTTGATAAACTCTCAGCTCTAGTCTCCGGAAGAAGACACATTTATTGGCTTTCATTAACTTACACGTTGAACAAACAAATGTATGCGTTGTTGGATGTGCCAAGACCAAACCAGGCATTGTATTTCAATGTGTTACAGCCAAGCATACACTTACTTTCATAACCAATACAGGTGCAACTGTACAGCACAATGCAAGGGGTAATCTATCATTGCAAGTGCCTTTTAACTGATCATCTCAGACTATTCAGTCGCAGTATAGTCAGAAGTGACATGCAGCACAGAAGACAGTCATTTGGTCCAGGTGTCTCTCTCCTTCCCTGTCATATCATATCAGACTGAATAAAACAAGACATCTGTTTCATTGTGCTTCCGCTTATCATAACAGAGAGAACTACAGAGTCTGGATCTTTGTCTGTCAGACTGCACAAAGACATTTTTTGACAGACATTTTGCATTATGTGATATGCAAAAAGAGAGACTTGACTAAAACCCTTTTACTTTTAGAAGTTAGCAGCAAGAAGAAAGTAGTGATAAGTGAACATATTAGAACACAGTCCAGCAGCAGCATGCTTTTTGTTACTCAGGCAGCATGCCCAGGAGCCCCTCAGGGCCTGGAAGAAGGGTGGGGATCAGTCAGCGGGAACATAACATCTCCTGCCTGGGCCGTTGGAAAGACAGCAGGTGAGCTGATAGTGGTGGCGGGATATCCTGTGATGCCAGCGTTTAGGAAAGGCCCCCCGTGGGAGACGGTGTGTATGTTTGTATGAGTGTGTGTGTGTGTCCTGGGTGGTGGTGACATTGTGAGACGGTGTGCTTTACCCTCTGAGCGCTGACAAACAACTTGTGGATGATGCTGCCGGCTGGGCCGCGTCCTGCTCCGATCACATACACCTCAGGCTCCTCTAGCAGAGAGTTCACAAACCTGAGAGCGAGAGAGAAGAGGAGTGGAGAGGGAGCCGAAGAAGAGATTGGGGAAGAGGTTCATATCAGGGGAGCATAGTCAGAAAACACACGCAGGTAAATACAGATAACATTATATTTAAGACATGCAATTATACATTTACCAACGGAATAATGAGAAGGGGTTGTAAAACTAGCTGCACAGTACAGTACACAAAATGTGAAAACTACAGCCTTTTGGAAACACATCCCTCTCCCCTGACACAGCATATCGGATACAAGACAGGACAGGCCGTTCATTGTTAGAGAGAAAAAGGACAGGCTAGTGGCTGCATGGTGTTCCAGGCCAGCTCTGGGTGTCCTCTTAATGAGTCTGACTCTGCCTGGCTCTACTGCCTGACTGGCTGGGCAATCAGAGGCCCCTGGGACATATGAACACTGGGGGCCTCCCTAATATAACCCCCGTCTGTCTGTATCCATGTCTATCCCTCAATGCACCTGACCCTCCGACACCATACACAAACACCTGTACAGATACACACACACACACACACACACACACACAGATGGACCTACATACTCCAGACACAGACACACACTCACTTATTCACTCCCAAGAAAGGCACACGTGCACAAACACACCCACTATACTATGCGCCCTTATTACAATCTGAGCAGAGAGTATGCCTGGGGAGAGGATGGAGGTGGTGGAGTTTTAATATAGCACACAACACAGTACGTGTGTGTGTTTGCCCAACATTTATTAGCATTCCTACTCATGCCTCCCCGAGCAGGGTGTATGATGAAATAAGAGCAGGCTTGTGATATTAATAAAGCGAGAAGGGTGGGATGGAAGGTACACAAGAGGTACCCACTCCAATTCACATACCGCCCCAACAGAGCCACAGATGACACAATCTCTACTGCACTCCACACTGCCCTCTCCCACCTGGACAAGAGGAACACCTATGTGAGAATGCTGTTCATCGACGACAGCTCATCATTTAACACTATAGTGCCCTCCAAGCTCATCACTAAGCTAAGGACCCTGGGACTGAACACCTCCCTCTGCAACTGGATCCTGGACATCCAGACGGGCCGCCCCCCAGGTGGTGAGGGTAGGGAATGGGGATTAATATTTTCTCGGAAATCTACCGAGTTTCAATACTGGGAATAATTCATATTTATCCAGAGAGTCCCGGGAAATACCGCAAAAATCAGAAATGCCCATTTAAAGCGTTTAAAACCAAGATTTGGTCACTATGCCAGGGTTCTCCGCAAATGCGCCACCTTGTCAGCGCCACTATGTAAAGATTTCACAGCAAGTGAAACTGATATTTAGTAATTTGATCGGCAATTAAATTGTTGTGAATTGCGAAACAGGCCGTACATAAATTCAGAGCGTTATCATCTTCCTCAATTAATTCAGCGCATTTCAGCAGTAGGCCTAGGCTACAGTGTCTTGACACAGACGGCGCTCAGGATGCACAGAGCGCACCCCGAGTAGGCTATAGCGTTGTCGAATCATATAAACATTGTAATGGCAGTCAAACAAAAGTCAAATGACCAAAGTTGAAAGCTTGCTAGATACCCTCCAACGAATGACAGAATATCTCCTATTTGGCAAAATCAAGTTGATTATTATACAGATAGCAGATCAGCTCATGAATAACAGAGAGATTAAGAGAGGAAATTGTTTAAATATCAAGGTATCCATATCTACTCTCATACAGTTTGTTGATCACACATTCTCTATCGAAGCCTTCATATTGGCAGCAATACGAGACAGCGCAGAGAAGCGGGGGAAATGTTATAGCGGTATTTTGACATGCATAGGCGAGAAATGCCTTGATAATGTAACCTATGGATTACAGAATAAGGTTAGGAATTTTCATGCGAGACAGGTGTCTGGATTTTGGATTTCAGTGGGATTGGGACAATAGGAAAATAGCCTAGGCTATATACAGTGGGGAGAACAAGTATTTGATACACTGCCGATTTTGCAGGTTTTCCTACTTACAAAGCATGTAGAGGTCTGTAATTTTTATCATATGTACACTTCAACTGTGAGAGACGGAATCTAGAAAATCACATTGTATGATTTTTAAGTAATTAATTTGCATTTTATTGCATGACATAAGTATTTGATCTCCTACCAACCATTAAGAATTCCGGCTCTCACAGACCTGTTAGTTTTTCTTTAAGAAGCCCTCCTGTTCTCCACTCATTACCTGTATTAACTGCACCTGTTTGAACTCGTTACCTGTATAAAAGACACCTGTCCACACACTCAATCAAACAGACTCCAACCTCTCCACAATGGCCAAGACCAGAGAGCTGTGTAAGGACATCAGGGATAAAATTGTAGACCTGCACAAGGCTGGGATGGGCTACAGGACAATAGGCAAGCAGCTTGGTGAGAAGGCAACAACTGTTGGCGCAATTATTAGAAAATGGAAGAAGTTCAAGATGACGGTCAATCACCCTCGGTCTGGGGCTCCATGCAAGATCTCACCTCGTGGGGCATCAATGATCGTGAGGAAAGTGAGGGATCAGCCCAGAACTACACAGCAGGACCTGGTCAATGACCTGAAGAGAGCTGGGACCACAGTCTCAAAGAAAACCATTAGTAACACACTACGCCGTCATGGATTAAAATCCTGCAGCGCACGCAAGGTCCCCCTGCTCAAGCCAGCGCATGTCAAGGCCCGTCTGAAGTTTGCCAATGACCATCTGGATGATCCAGAGGAGGAATGGGAAAAGGTAATGTGGTCTGATGAGACAAAAATTTAGCTTTTTGGTCTAAACTCCACTCGCCGTGTTTGGAGGAAGAAGAAGGATGAGTACAACCCCAAGAACACCATCCCAACCGTGAAGCATGGAGGTGGAAACATCATTCTTTGGGGATGCTTTTCTGCAAAGGGGACAGGACGACTGCACCGTATTGAGGGGAGGATGGATGGGGCCATGTATCGCGAGATCTTGGCCAACAACCTCCTTCCCTCAGTAAGAGCATTGAAGATGGGTCGTGGCTGGGTCTTCCAGCATGACAACGACCCGAAACACACAGCCAGGGCAACTAAGGAGTGGCTCCGTAAGAAGCATCTCAAGGTCCTGGAGTGGCCTAGCCAGTCTCCAGACCTGAACCCAATAGAAAATCTTTGGAGGGAGCTGAAAGTCCGTATTGCCCAGCGACAGCCCCGAAACCTGAAGGATCTGGAGAAGATCTGTATGGAGGAGTGGGCCAAAATCCCTGCTGCAGTGTGTGCAAACCTGGTCAAGACGTACAGGAAACGTATGATCTCTGTAATTGCAAACAAAGGTTTCTGGTTAATATTAAGTTCTGCTTTTCTGATGTATCAAATAATTATGTCATGCAATAAAATGCAAATTAATTACTTTAAAAAATCATACAATGTGATTTTCTGGATTTTTTTTTTTGATTCCGTCTCTCACAGTTGAAGTGTACCTATGATAAAAATGACAGACCTCTACATGCTTTGTAAGTAGGAAACCCTGTAAAATTGGCAGTGTATCAAATACTTGTTCTCCCCACTGTATATAAAGGCTACAGTGTCTTTGGAAAGTATTCAGACCCCTTGACTTTGACATTATTATTCTAAAACATTTTTGTATTTTTTATCCTCAGCAATCTACACACAATACCCCATAATGACAAAGTGAAAACAGGTTTTTAGACTTTTTTGCAAATGTATTAAAAACAAAAAACAGAAATACCTTATTTACATAAGTATTCAGACCCTTTGCTATGAGACTCGAAATTGAGCTCAGGTGCATCCTGTTTCCATTGATCATCCTTGAGATGTTTCTACAACTTGATTAGTGTCTACCTGTGGTAAATTAAATTGATTGGACATGATTTGGAAAGGCACACACCTGTATATATATATATATATATATATATATATATATATATATATATATATATATATATATATATATATATATATATATATATATATATATAAGGTCCCACAGTTGACAGTGCATGTCAGGTCAAAAACCAAGCCATGAGGTCGAAGGAATTGTCCGTAGAGCTTCGAGACAGGATTGTGTCGAGGCACAGATCTGAGGAAGGGTACCAAAATATTTCTGCAGCATTGAAGGTCCCCAAGAACACAGTGGTCTCCATCATTCTTAAATGGAAGAAGTTTGGAACAACCGCCCGGCCAAACTGAGAAATCGGAGGAGAAGGGCCTTGGTCAGGGAGGTGACCAACAACCTGATGGTCACTCTGACAGAGCTCTAGAGTTCCTCTGTGGAGATGGGAGAACCTTCCAGAAGGACAACCATCTCTGCAGCACTCCACCAATCAGGCCTTTATGGTAGAGTGGCCAGAAGGAAGCCACTCCTCAGTCCCATGTAGCTCAGTTGGTAGAGAATGGCGCTTGCAATGCCAGGGTTGTGGGTTCGTTTCCCACAGGGGGCCAGTGTGAAAATGTATGCACTCACTAACTGTAAGTCGCTCTGGATAAGAGCGTCTGCTAAATGACTAAAATGTAAATGTAAAATGGCACATGACAGCCCGCTTGGAGTTTGCCAAAAAGGCACCTAAAGGACTCTCAGACCATGAGAAACAAGTTTCTCTGGTCTGATGCAACCAAGATTGAACTCTTTGGCCAGAATGCCAAGCGTCACGTCTGGAGGAAACCTGGCACCATCCCTATGGTGAAGCATGGTGGTGGCAGCATCATGCTGTGGGGATGTTTTTCAGCTGCAGGGACTGGAAGACTAGTCAGGATCGAGGGAAAGATGAACGGAGCAAAGTACAGAGAGATCCTTGATGAAAACACGCTCAGGACCTCAGACTGAGTGAAGGTTCACCTTCCAACAGGACAATGACCCTAAACACATAGCCAAGACAATGCAGGAGTGGCTTCAGGACAAGTCTCTGAATGTCCTTGAGTGGCCCAGCCAGATTCCGGACTTGAACTAAGAAACGAACATCTCTGGAGAGACCTGAAAATAGCTGTGCAGCGACGCTCCCCATCCAAACTGACAGCGCTTGAAAGGATCTGCAGAGAAGAATGGGAGAAACTCCCCAAATACAGGTGTGCCAAGCTTCTAGCGTCATACCCAAGAAGACTCAAGGCTGTAATCGCTGCCTGTCGCTCTGGATAAGAGCGTCTGCTAAATGACTAAAATGTAAATGTAAAAAATGCTGCCAAAGGTGCTTCAACAAAGTACTGAGTAAAGGGTCTGAATACTTACATAAATGTAATATTGTGTGTAGATTGATGAGGGGAAAAAACGATTTATTCCATTTGAGAATACAGCGGTAACGTATCAAAATGTGGTATTTCTGTTTTGAATGTTTTATTAAATTTGCAAAAAAATCTAAAAACCTGTTTTCGCTTTGTCATTATGGAGTATTGTGTGTAGATTGCTAAAAAAAAGATATACACTACCAGTCAAAAGTTTGGACACACCTACTCATTCAAGGATTTTTCTTTATTTGTACAATTTTCTACATTGTAGAATAATAGTGAAGAGATCAAAACTATGAAATAACACATATTGAATCAGGTAGTAACCAAAAAAGTGTTAAACAAATCAAAATATTTTGTATATTTGAGATTCTTCAAATAGCCACCAGTTGCCTTGATGACAGCTTTGCACACTCTTGGCATTCTCTCAACCAGCTTCATGAGGTTGTCACCTGGAATGGGGGGGGGGTATACAGAAGATACATCTATTTGGTAAAAGACCAAGTCCATATTATGGCAAGAACAGCTCAAATAAGCAAAGAGAAACAACAGTCCATCATTACTTTAAGACATGAAGGTCAGTCAATACGGAACATTTCAAGACCTTTGAAAGTTTCTTCAAGTGCAGTCGCAAAAACCATCAAGTGCTATGCTGAAACTGGCACTTATGAGGACCGCCACAGGAATGGAAGACCCAGAGTTACCTCTGCTGCAGAGGATAAGTTCATTAGAGTTACCAGCCTCAGACATTGCAGCCCAAATAAACGCTTCACATAGTTCAAGTCACAGACACATCTCAACATCAACTGTTCAGAGGGGACTGTGTGAATCAGGCCTTCATGGTCGAATTGCTGCAAAGAAACCACTACTAAAGGACACCAATAATAAGAAGAGACCTGCTTGGGCCAAGAAACACGAGCAATGGACATTAGACCGGTGGAAATGTGTCCTTTGGTCTGGAGTCCAAATTGGAGATTTTGGGATCCAACCGCCGTGTCTTTGTGAGACGCGGTGTGGGTGAATGGATGATCTCCGCATGTGTAGTTCCCACCGTAAAGCATGGAGGAGGAGGTGTTATGGTGTGGGGGTGCATTGCTGGTGACACTGTCTGTGATTTCTTTAGAATTAAAGGCACACTTAACCAGCATGGCTACCACAGCATTCTGCAGCGATAGGCCATCTCATCTGGTTTGGGCTTAGTGGGACTAACATTTGTTTTTCAACACGGAAATGACCCAACACACCTCCAGGCTGTGTAAGGGCTATTATACCAAGAAGGAGAGTAATGGAGTGCTGCATCAGTTGACCTGGCCTCCACAATCCCCCGACCTCAACCCAATTGAGATGGTTTGGGATGAGTCGGACGGCAGAGTGAAGGAAAAGCAGCTAACAAGTGCTCAGCATATGTGGGAACTCCTTCAAGACTGTTGGAAAAGCATTCCAGGTGAAGCTGGTTGAGAGAATGCCAAGAGTGTGCAAAGCTGTCATCAAGGCAAAGGGTGGCTATTTGAAGAATCTCAAATATATTTTGATTTGTTTAACACTTTTTTGGTTACTACATTATTCCATATGTGTTATTTCATAGTTTTGATGTCTTCACTATTATTCTACAATGTAGAAAATAGTAAAAAATAAAGAAAAAACCTTGAATGAGTGGGTGTGTCCAAACTTTTGACTGGCATTGTATATTTAACCCATTTTAGAATAAGGCTGTAACGTAACAAAATGTGGAAAAAGGGAAGCAAGCGGTCTGAATACTTTCCGAATGCACTGTATATGTACATATCTACCTCAATTACTGTACCTCGTGTTATTACTTTTCTATTTTCTTTCTCTCTGCATTGTTGTTTACGAAGCAGGTGATGAATAACATTTGATTTGAGAGGACAAAAGAACAACAGAAGGGAAGGAGGAGTAGTGGCATGGAGGGTTGGTTAAAATGTGCCTGCTGGTTCTATCAGGAGTAGGGCTGGAGAGAATCTCCAGGGAAGTTATCTTATCAATACCTTAAGAGCACTGTCTGAAAACATAATCGATAACACTTAAGCTATTCATGTTTTCGATTGGTCTCACTCGCAAAATAGATTTTATCTCAATAGGGCTAAGCTGCATAGAAATAGATAGGTTTGAAGCAGTTGGATTGATTTCATTTAACTCCATAGGTATTTTTGTATCTCTGCAGATCTATCTGGCCCTACTGGTTAACATGAAATTAGCTCTGGTAGCGCAGGGTGCTTGCAATGCCAGGAATGTATGCATGCCTAAGTGGCTTTGGATAAAAGTGTCTGCTAAATGGCATATATTATTATTATTATTATTATTATTATTATTATTTCAGGGCGTGCTGCTTTGTCCTGATGTACCTCTCCAGATCCTCTGCGTCGTCACTCTGCTCTGCCTTCCCGATGCCAAACTTGGACTTCAGAGAGCGGGAGCGGGCAATGACCGTCTCCACCGCTATGAGCTGGGTAATCACGTCCTGTTGGAGGAGACAGACAAAGACACTGAGCACTAGGGTGGATGAGTCGGGGGTAGAAAAAACTATACTGTGGCTACCTTGCAGTCCAACCAATGGGTTAGAGGTAGAGGTTAGGGGTTAGAGACTGGTGGGGAGAGATCGTCAATCTTGCCAGGTCTCCCTTGAAAAACAGGATTTATCCTAGTTAAATAAAGGCTAAATGAAAAAAAAGTTGTTTCCAGTCACCTCCAGTTTCTTGTAGTCTGGGCTTGGGTGGCGCAGCACCTTGCTGGCATGAGAGGTGGCCTGCTGGATGGCCTTTCTAGCAGATAGGATGTCCTCTACTGACTCTGTATGAGAGAGAAGAGAGGAAGTTGGTGAGATGAGAGAGAGAGAGAGAGAGAGAGAGAGAGAGAGAGAGAGAGAGAGAAGAGAGAGAGAGAGAGAGAGAGAGAGAGAGAGAGAGAGTTTTCAGCAGCTGCCACTAACCCTCCTCCTTCTCCTTGAGGATGGCAGCGTGGAGGATGCAGGGCAGGAGATGGCGGGACAGGTCTGCTGGCTTCTGTACCGCCAAGTAGTGCAGCACCTGGGGGAGGGGAAGAATATCAAAACCAAACTCTCGCTCTCCATCTCTCTCTTACAGCAATTATGATTCCAGAGGTTGTCAGGACCCAGCAAGGTACTTGACATTTCAGAAGGCATTGTTCTTTTATATAACTGGTTCATCGGCTTCTTTTGACTTATGGAGGCTGCCTGCCGCATAAACACAATTGTGTTGGCGAGAGGCAGCGCTGCATTTTAATGACCCTCCTTTTTATACAACACAGGGTCATTCGTTATGTTGAGTGAGTCGGAGATGAGATTCCAGGAGCTCAATCTGATTTGGTATTCCCTAATAACACACAACCCTTCAGGCTCTCGTGCACATGGAGAGAACAGGGATAGAACGTACGGCACAGTGCAGCGCTCTTAAGTTGTCGCAGAGTGACCTTGTGGCGATGATTTTGACTGCAATCAGAGGACTGTGGAATATAGAAGCACTCCTGTCATCTACCTACTTTAAGAGGACAACTTACTGGAGCAGCAAGAAAAAAGGAAAAAATATATAATCAGCAGGAAATTAATGCCAAACTAAATCGTGCACCTGGAATTTCCCCAAAAGAGCCGGCTGGCTGGTGGCAGACATACGGATGAAGGTCGCAGCGCTATAGGCTAGATGACCGACCTTCAAGGCCCAGCAAGGTTCCCCTAAACTCAGTTTAAACTCTCAGGGAGGGGACCATGGCAGGGAGGGGAGGGACACCTTGTGTGTGTGTGTGTGTGTGTGTGTGTGTGTGTGGTGTGTGTGTGTGTGTGTGTGTCGTAGCAGGGACACTTTGTGTTCTGACCTACTTCCTATTTCTAGCAGCGCTGCATGGTGATTGGCTGAAACAGGGACAAACAGAGAGAGGCAGAGTGTGTAGTGAACCTGGCAGGGTTTAGTTCTTTGGGCTGGCAGCAATGAGCTGCAGGACAGGTGGAGGTGTCATTCACAGATTCTCAGTCTAGCAGTTCAAAAGGGAAACGTATTAACCTGTTGCAGTCAGAGGCCTTTTTCACTTAGTCATATTAAATCAGTCAGGGAAACACAATGCCTCTGGGTAAAAGTTGCACTTAGGCACAACTTATCCTCCCCAAATCCTAACCTTAAGGGGGAAAACCCCAAACTGAGCTTACCCCCCCTTTTAGTTTTTCCTGGGTAACCTAAAACTCTGGATCTTACACGATATGACATGGTTAATCAGTTGTAAAAAGGTTTAATATGGGCTATTATGGGACCAGAGTTTTTCTAAAATCGGGTCACATGGTTTTAAAAACTCCTGGAAAAACTCCTGGCCTTGGGGAGGATGAAAACCCTGTCAAACTGCAGCAACCTTCTACTTGCTCATATTCATTATATTTTAAAGCTAGACTAAAACGGGGGGTTTCATCTACACATCCACAGACAGCAACATGATTGGACAATAGAACTCAAAAGGCTGAGCTTGCTTTATGCAGGTCTGCATTGTTTAGTCCTGCCCTATGCAACTGTAGGCCTAATTAAACAAGAACTCACCGTCTATGTCAGATACTGCGTTTATTGATTCATTCCAGTTAATAATGTTGGATTGAAAAGGTCTAGGTAGCCTAGTCACCCAAAGTATGAATATAAACCAAAAAATGGGCTTTAAATACACAACATTACGTCTTCGTTTACCCTGGCCAGAGGGACAGGGCGTAGTAGACAGTATGCAGCTGTTAGTCTCCTACAGTTGATCAGACAAAAAATTATAATCTTGTTTCCATGCAATACAGAAGATCACTAATGTTTAGGTGTAGGCTGCTACAACATTTATGTAAAGAGGTTTTGCTTGTGTCTGTCGGGAGTGATATAACGTTTGCTAAATAAATAGCCTACCGGAGGAAAGTGGATGGGGCGCCTTGAGCGTTGTGCGTTGATTTCCGTGAACCTGATTGGTCAAGAAACGCACAGAGCCTGCAGCAGCACTCCAATGTGAAGGACAGAGAAATTGTGCGTGTGGCAAATCAGGTAAAAATAAAACGTTTTTGCATCAATATTTTTTATGAAACTAAATCAAAAGCAGTGGGCCGCTGTCCCACCTGATTGAAAAGTGCTGGGGAAAATGCCGCCTCGCCACACGTTTTCCGGCGGCCAAATATTATTCTAAAAGCTCCAAGCTCAGTACCTTCTCAGCCTCCTTGGTGTCGTCAAACAGGCGTCTCTGTCTGCGAGCGGGGGTAGTCTTGGCAGTGGCCCACGCCTCCATCCACATGTTTCCCGGGATCTTCATCCTGGCACTCAGGTCGCCCCTGACCACCGTGTCTCCGATCTCGTCCACCACCTCCTCCTCAACGTAGTCCCTGGGAGAGTACCACCTCACAAAGTCCTCCAGGGTACAACCAGGGTTCGCCGCCTGACACAGAGACACACAGACAGGCACGTCAATGCTAGTCATTATGTTCCAGAGTTCTACAGTCTATACATAAATATAGACATTGTACAAAGTTCTCCAGGGTACAGCCAGGGTTCGCTGCCTAATATGTACATGGACAGACAGGCTTGTTACTGTCACTACCAAGTCATGTTCTCAACCCCCACAGATGTTCAAGAGTTTCAACTATATTCTATTCTTCCAGAGCATATATACACACACAGAGAAGTCAAAGTCTTCTAGAAAACCCTGGCGATAGTAGCAGAAAACACGCATACATTTGGCTGATGTCATCTCCACCTCCAGTGTGTGCAATGACATTCTAGTGTTTCAGCTCCACTCCAGAGCAGTGCCCACTGTCTGTGAGCTCATGACTCAGAGACAGGTGATGATTCAGGTTAGTCAGATGTAGCAGACAGCATCAGTGTGTTAATGGCTCTCAGAGGGAATGAGTCTGAATCAGAGTACCTACTGCTGTGAAATAAATCAATGTCAGTCTCCATGCTTCCTCTGGAAACCAACCGACTGACCAATTGAACAAGTATAACTTTTGTGTGACCTTTTGCTGGTGTGTTAGTGTGTTCTCACACAGTACTTTCTCTCCTTCATTCACACTCCATAATTAATTAGAAGCCTGCCTTACCACAGAAAGAAATAGAGGAAATGATCTAAGTTTCGTAGCGAGGAGACAGCTCCATTTCAGTGCAGCAGCAGTAGATGGATTGATGAGGAGGAGGATAAAGTGTGAATAACTGAGACAGGAGCTCCTCCGTAGCCTGTGGGCCCAGGGCATGACAGACAGGAGCTCCTCCGTAGCCTGTGGGCCCAGGGCAGGACAGACAGGAGCTCCTCCGTAGCCTGTGGGCCCAGGGCAGGACAGACAGGAGCTCCTCCTAGCTGTGGGCCCAGGGCAGGACAGACAGGAAGCTCCTCCGTAGCCTGTGGGCCAGGGCAGGACAGACAGGAGCTCTCCGTAGCCTGTGGGCCAGGGCAGAACAGACATGAGCTCCTCCGTAGCTGTGGCCCAGGGCTGACAGACAGGAGCTCCTCCGTAGTCCTGTGGGCCCAGGGCATGACAGACAGGAGCTCCTCCGTAGCCTGTGGGCCCAGGGCAGGACAGACAGGAGCTCCTCCGTAGCCTGTGGGCCCAGGGCAGGACAGACAGGAGCTCCTCCGTAGCCTGTGGGCCCAGGGCAGGACAGACAGGAGCTCCTCCGTAGCCTGTGGGCCCAGGGCAGGACAGACAGGAGCTCCTCCGTAGCCTGTGGGCCCAGGGCAGGACAGACAGGAGCTCCTCCGTAGCCTGTGGGCCCAGGGTAGGACAGACAGGAGGCTTCTCCTCTGCTGCTGTCCCCCTAAGGAAGAAGTGTGTGTGTGTTTGTGTGTGTATGCTTTCGTGCGTGACGTGTATGTGTGTATGCTTTCGTGCGTGACGTGTATGTGTGCATGCTTTCGTGCGTGACGTGTATGTGTGCATGCCTGCATTCGTGCGTGAGACATATTCAGTTGAGGAGGGGGCTGGTACGTGGTGCTTGGCTGTCATATTCCTAAGTCCCCACCATTCATCAGTGGTCCATCCTTTGCTTTGCGCCTGCAGGGACCGGGATAATTAAAGCTAAAATGCCAGATTATGCTTGGCTAAGCACAATTACATACAGAGCAGGTTGGCCCTGGCCCTGAGAAATGTAGAGGCCATTCTAACTCAAGGGCCCCATTTACCGCTCTGCCTGAGTACACAACATTCTTCTACCTCTAGTTTATAACCCATCTCCCTCCCTCTCACGTCAGCTGTTGTCGGCGCTCAGAAAGAACAAAAGAAGAAGAGATCGAGAAGAGAACATACAACTACCTCCAAAGTAGAGCATTTAGTGGGCCAGTTAAAAACAGACTGGGGTAATGCGACAAAAAGTTGCAACTGTGCCCCCTGACGGAACACTATTTGTCAACGTTTGTTACTGTTGGGAACAAAGGGGTGGAGCCTGAAGTCCCATCAGAGAAGTTTAAAGATGGTGACCTGATGTTCTGAACCTTTTGAATCCAACAGCTTGGAGTTAGCAGGTGTGGCTGCATTCTACTCAGCAGAAAAATGGGGTATGTTTCACTGTATTCATTGCACAATAAGGTTACCATAGAGAGCTTTCTTTAGCCTGTGTCTAAAACATTTTTAAAGGGACAACTATTAAATGTAACTTGACTAAATTAATTCAAGACACATAGCGGGATTGTAAGAGCGGTTATGTATATTTGTCTGCATGATAAAGGAAATGTACTTTAATCATCAAAAGCATTTGTGATCAATCTTCTAACTAATACTTTTACTGGCATTACATCAACCACTAGTATTCAATAATTCAACACTATGGAGGCTTATTTTCAAAATGGAAAGTATTTGAAGCACTTAAACAGAAATCTGTACAGTATATCAGCTCTCTAAAACCTCGTCCAAATGTCCAAATGCACACCCCTCACATTTTCTAATAGGAAAGAAGCCTTTCATTGACATTTATAACACAATTAGCATGCCCTCCACTGTGCCACCGTGTGAGACGAGGGAGACTAAAGGAGACTGTCAGAATCAAGTCAAACGCCCCCCAGTCTGACACATTGACTGACAGAGGACGGAGACCACTAATAGGCTCCTGTGCCACTCACCCAGTCTGGGTGGCAGTGAGAGTGAGTGTGTGCGTGTGCCTCTGTGTTTGTGTGTGTGCCAGCGTTAATTTCAGGGTGTGTGTGTGTGTGTGTGTATGTCGGTGTCAGTGTGTATCCTCACCTTAAAAGACTCCATGTCTGAGAGCAGACAGGCACTCTGCATGCGGGCGCGGAGGTGGGCACCCTCGGCTGACGTGCCCAGTTTGGCCAATACCTCCGACTGCTCCTCTAGAAGGTCTTCTGTCATGGGCGCTGGCTCCTGGGGAGTGGGAAGGAGGACATTCAGGGTTTCTGTGTTTTAGGGGTTTTAGTGTGTGTATGAAGTAGCGTGTGTGTGTGGGTTGGTTTCCGACACACACGGAAGTCAGAAACTGACCCCTAAAGGTTTACCCATAAGTTCTGTATGTTACAGTACTTATTAGTGTCTGAGAGACATGCAGCAGTGACACAAGGTTTGGCCCAGTCATTCACTCTGAGCAGAACAGAGGAGACTAACAGCTCGTCATGTTCATTAGGGACCTGTGGAACACTTGAGGCACCTCCAACCCCATGCCAAAACACCCACAATGCCCTGCCAATCTCCCATCAGCCCCGGCTAATGAACACATTTACATTACATTTACGTCATTTAGCAGACGCTCTTATCCAGAGCGACTTACAGTTAGTGAATACATATTTTTTTTTATACTGGCCCCCCATGGGAATCGAACCCACAACCCTGGCGTTGCAAACGCCATGCTCTATCAACTGAGCTACATCCCTGCCGGCCATTCCCTCCCCTACCCTGGACGACGCTGGGCCAATTGTGCGCCGCCCATGAGTCTCCCGGTCGCGGCCGGCTGCGCTGGTTGTCTTGTAGAGCAATGTCCACAGGCCTGTCTAGTGTCCATGTTGCTGAAGGGCAACTGAACACCGCATAATGTTCGTTAAGGTCTGATTCGGTTCCACCACTGGCAATGTAAGTCATGATCACCGGCCAATCAGGTGCATAACTAAAATGGTTATTTGAATGAGCAAAAAAGACTGACTGCATGTAGAGGTGGTGGTTTGCCAAACTTTGCTTGCTTGGTGAGTAACCTTGCTTGAGACTCGGCAACTTGAGTTAGCCAGGGCTTTAGCTCAGAGGGCTAACATTGTCACACAGATAACCCGGTTTCAATACCCAGTAGGTTTGTTATGTACAAAATATTCACTATAGTTCAGATAAACCTGCAAAAGTCCCTCATTTCATAGAATCCTGATTCTGCTCCCTGGCCTGTAATAACTCTAATAGCCATTACTTATACATTTTATAACCTGCTTTAAAATGAGCCATTCCTTCCTATTTCATTGCTGCCATTATGCAACTTTTTTCCAGCACAAAGCAGGCTTGTATAACAATGGGCTCAATACATCACCCAATGGATTTCTGAGCGGAACTAGCCCAACGTGAGGCTGCTGTACCTACCTTTTCAAACAACGACCGCATACCTCTAAATGCAAAAGGCCACACACCATGCAATCATGAATGGAAAACAGGGGGCAGAACCCAACTGTGCCTTTCTTTCATTACCATCACAGCCTCTAATGCATTCTACCCAGTGGGCTCAGACTGACTAATGCACAGTCGGGTCTGGGAGAAAGAAAAAACCAAAAGCCTGTCCCCTCCTGAGCAAGTTTCTAATGAAATAAAGAATGACCTGAGTCAGAGGGGGCCATTAGCTGCGGCTCTTGAGAGATCTGCGTCCCAAATTGCACCCCATTCCCAATATAGTGCATTACATTTGACCAGAGCCCTATAGGCCTTGCCCCTTGTCAAAAGTAGTGCACCATATATAGTATAGTATGCTATTTAGGACGCAGACAGAGTGTGGGGAATATAAACAGGGCAGAGAGGAGCGGCAACCAAACAACACTTTACCCAGACTAATTAAAACTAGGGAAGGAAGGTGAGAATGCAGAGCAGAGCGTACGAGTATGTGTGAAGAGGCATCCACCTCATTACAAATAAAGTGGCAATGCCATGAATCTAAAACACCCATCTCTGCCTACCCCTGTCCCCCCTCCTACCCCTGCCCCTGCTGTTTAAAATTCCGACAGAGAGGGAGGAGGAGAAGTGATGGAGTGTGGGAGAGCGCGAGAGAAAGAGAGCACGCGAGACAGAGCGCGAGAGAGAGAGAGAGAGCGTGCGCGAGAGAGAGAGACTGACAGGGGTGTCAGAGAGGAAATGTCTGAAAGGTAATAGAAAAAAATAGAAAAAACAGACAGGCGAGCGGAGATGGAGACAACAGATCCAGACAGAGACAGAGCAGCACAGATGAGCAAACAGACGTACAGATAATCGATGGATGTAGGAAGAGAAAGAGAGAACATGTCATTGAGAGGACACAGCGAGAGAAAGAGAAAAGAGAGAGGAAATGGAAAAGGACTGAAGGGTAGTGGGAGTGATATATGAGAGACAGAGAGACAAAGGTTTGGAGAATGTTGTGTGGATAAAGAGGGCGAGAGATAGAAAAGGGCAGACAGAGAAAAGACAAGTGCAAAAATCCCTGCATGATACACCGAGAGAGCGGGAGACTGAGGCAGTGTCTAGACTTGACAGTTAATGAATGCAGTTTATGTTTTCTGATCATGGAGTTCTGATCATGGAATTACGGACACATCATGCGTCTACAACTACATTTAAATGTGTCCACCATGTCCACAGTCAGTGTTGCCAATTTAGCAACTTTCTCGATATATTTAGCAAGTTTTCAGACCCCTCCAGTGACTTTTATTGGTAAAAGAGGCTAGCGCCAAATTCAGCTACTTTTCAGGCTGCTTTTGGGGAGTTTTGACACAGAGGATTTCTATGGTTTTGATTGCATTTTGCGACTTTTCCCACTCAATTCTGCCGCAAACGAGAGTGGGAGAAGCTGTCTGTGCAACAGAAGTCACTGCAATGGTGCACAGACAGGCAGAGAAGCACAAGGGGAGGGGGTGCAAAGCAAATTGGTCCACATTTTTGTCTGGATTCTGTTTTTTCACGCTATATTCAAATGCCAGTATGTATTCTGCAAACGGTGGAATAGGCAAAATATGATAACACAACAACTTGATAGCAGTAGCTAACTACTGTAGCTAACTAGCCAGCAAGCTAGAAAGCAATGCTAGAGGGATTGCAAACAGGTTAGCATAATTCTAGCCAAAAAACTAAAACATTTTTAGAAATAGTAGCTCGCTGGCTAGCATTCATGAGGCCAGCAAACACTTCCCTCACACGCTAGGAATGTATTTCCTCAAATGTTATAACGAAAAGGTGCCTCTCTTTCCCAAAACACACGTTTTCTGGAGACTGTACACACCAGGGATCGTCAACTAGATTCGGCAGCGGGACGATTTTTTCTTGAGCGGCTGGTCGGAGGGCCGGAACATAATTACTAATAATTTGTCCGCAAGAAGCCCAAACAGATATAATGTTTAACTAAAACATAATCATTTCAAACCTTGCGTACATTTGCATACGATCACGTCCCTCTATTAGGCGTGGGAATACTTGGGAACAGATTTCTTCACTTGGAGCAGATTTCCTGGTGTTTTTTACAACAACAAAGAAATTCAATTTTTGGCTCAGAAACCTTGTGGGGGCAAATAAAACCATATGGCCCGTGGACCGCCACTTTCGGTAGCCTGATTGAGTCCAGACTGAGGAGAAATCTGCACACAAACCTCCTGAGGAAAAATGGCTCGATAAGGTGGTCAGCCAGATCTGAACACAATCAGACCACATCGCAACTTTAGTGCGTCTAGACCTGATCTTCGTATTCTGATAGCAGAAGTCGAATGTAAGTGTCAAGTGTAGACACGGCCTGAGACTGTGTGTGTGCGTGTGTGTTAGATGGAGATTGCACACAGCAGACGCAATCTGTGTGAAGTCGTCGGGCCCGTCTAGAAGTGCTGACACTCGTTTCTTTTACACTCATACACTCCATCCATCTCTCCCTCCACGCAGCACACGGTCGTTCCGCTCTCTTAACTCGGCAAGGCGTCCGTCCTCGTCCACCATCTGCACTGTGTGCTGTGTGTGTATCTGTGTGCTGGGTCTGTGTGTCGTCTTTGTGTGCGTGTTATGCATTTGTGGATAGATATCAGCTTCAGACAGCCCGGGCCACCATCTCCCTTCCTGCATCTCACCTCCTAGTGTTAATCATTGAAAAGGGTCAGCCTCAGCCCTGTGCATTAATTAGCTCTACTATTCATCCCGGTCTATAACTGATGAGGGGGAGAGGAGCTACAAATCTCTCCATGCTAGCTCTGGGCTCACACACATAGCAGGGAATGGAGAGGGAGGGAGTTAGCACTATCAGAGAGACTCATAGCATAGAGCACATGTGCTAAACTTGTTCCATGGAGGGCAGAGTGTCTGCGGGTTTTCACTCCTCCCTTGTACTTGATTGATGAATTAAGGTCACTAACCTCACCTGGTTGTCTAGGGCTTAATTGAAAGGAAAAACCTGACACCACTGGCATAGAGGCTGATCAGAGGTGGCCACCAAATGGAAGAGGATATAGCCAATTATAATAAGATGTATTATAGTATCTACCTGCCCCCAAATGCCTTCTACAATAAGAGGCCGAGCACAGCCTTTGTTGAGTTGATTCTGTCAGGCTAAGTTTCACATCATGCTGTTCTTGGCTTTACCATACTTATTAAGATTAACCCGTAGACATTTAAAGCTAATTATGAGTTTTATGTTACAACAATGATTTATTACAAGTCCGTGATAATGAATTAGGCACTGTGTGCATACACTGTATTTGTCAAGGCTACTGTGTTCTAGTGATTTATGGTACCATAGTAACAACGAGTTACAGTATCATTACAATGTATTAATGAATAGGTAAATGAGTTACTGGTGCATATTGTACAGTACATCTGCCATGGCTGTCTGTTTGTCTGACCTGTGGCATTGTTAATGACATGGTCTGTATGTGGAAATATTGGTCCTAGGAATCACTGAGTATACCAAACATTAGGAACAACCCTTTTGCCCTCAGAACAGCCTCAATTCGTCGGGGCATGGGCTCTACAAGGTGTCGAAAGCGTTCCACAGGGATGCTGGCCCATGTTGACTTCAATGCTTCCCACAGTTGTGTCAAGTTGGATGGATGTCCTTTGGGTGGTGGACCATTCTTGATACACACAGAAAACTGTTGAGCGTGAAAAACCCAGCAGCGTTGTAGCCCTTGGCACCTAACACCATACCCCGTTCAAAGGCACTTACATATTTTGTCTTGCCCATTCACCCTCTGAATGGCACACATACACAATCCATGTTTCAATTGTCTCTAGGCTTAAAAAAACCTTACTTAACCCGTCTCCTCCCCTTTATCTACACTGATTGAAGTGGATTTAACAAGTGACATCAATAAGGGATCAGAGCTTTCACCTGGATTCACCTGGTCAGTCTGTCATGGAAAGAGCATGTGTTCTTAATGTTTTGTATAGTAATGAATAGGTCAGTGAGTTAGAGTGGTGCATATCGTACAGTACATCTACCATGGCTGCCTCCTTGTCTGAGGTAAAGAGAAAGAATGTGCTCAACTCCTTCCTCTTACTTAAAACAATGAAACAATTAAAGGGTGCTTGAAGCCACCAGTCAATCACATGAAAAATGAAATGGCTGTGTGCGTTTGTATGTCTGACCTGAGTAACAGGGATGTACAGGGGTTCCTGGGAGTTGAGCAGGGTCAACTTCCCGTGGGGGTGGAGCCGACCCTCTGGCTTGGCCACCTTGGCCCCGCCCTTCTCGCCGTCTGTGGCCGCACCATCCTTCATCTCCTCCGTGTCGCTCAGGCACTCAAAGAACTCGTCCTCGCCCTCGCTGTCACTCCACGAGTCCCACGACTTCCCAGGAGACACCTCTCTGCCCCCCTCTGCCGTCGCTGCACTCTCCGGCCCCAGGCGCCCGTTCTCAGTCCCGGTCGACCCTGCCACCTTCCTCTCCCTCTCTCTCTCTCTCGCCTTCCCTCCCTCAATAGTCTTCCTCCCGTCATCCCTCGCCCTCTTCCTCTCGATGCAGCAGTTGAGCATCTGGGGGGCAGAGACGGACAAAGAGTGATGAGTGCAGGGAGTCAGGGAAACAGCAGCAGATGGCAAGGTTTTGGGAGGTAGGTGTGTGTGTGTGTAATTCTAGCCAGTATAAACCCATCTCATCCCTTTGGCCCTTACCGAGCCATTTCTCATCATCATGTCCCTTTGTGCCCACACTAAAGTCTTCTTCTCCTCCTACACTGAGCTCCAAACGTCTACCTCGGGCAGGCTGCAGCGCCGTGAATAGAGTCACTTTCTGCTCTAATACTGATGCATGCCTAGCCTAGGTGAGTAGGGAGCAGAGAGAGGGAGAGAGGGGGGGAGCAGGGAGAGAGAAGGGAGCAGAGAGAGAGAGAGAGAGAGAGAGAGAGAGAGAGAGAGAGAGAGCAGAGGTAGAGAGAAGGGGGAGAGAGCAGAGAGGTAGAGGTAGGTTGGTAGAGGGAGAGATACAGAGACAGACTCAGTTTATGAGTCAGGAGCTCTTTGCCCAGTGCCGCCTGGGCACCTCTTCCTCTTTTTAAAGTGATTGCAGATAAAGTGGCTCTCTCTGCCTTTCCAGAAAGATATTACCTCGCCTTCCTTCCCTCTCATCCTCGCTCACTCTCTCCCACTCTCTCTGGACATCTTTATTACCACCTCTCTCCCTTCCTTTTATCGCTTCCTCTCTCATTCCACAATCCCTCCCTCTCTTCCCCAGGTGAGGCGTGGGTGGCTGAATAACAACAGTGTTTATGGGTCTGGGTTTGGTTGTCTGGGGCCACTGCAGACAAAAAGCTGACTGGATGACCACAATGCAGCAGCAGGACACATAGAAATATAATTAATACAACAGGCTTGGAACCGCTGCCTGGTATTGCAATAATTTCCATAGTAATGTAGAATGTTCTTTCAAATGATGTTAACAGATTTTTTTTGGGGGGGACTCCTGTTCCATTCATTCTATTTCTATGGCTGCACATGCAGTCAGGAGCGGAGGAGAGGAGAAAATGTGTCTAAAACAACCCCCCCAATTAAAATAAATATATTAATTTTTTTGCTATTCAACCGTTAATACGGTGACCGCGGTCATTTGGCTGGCCAATTACAGTCATCCAAAATTCCATGACCGTCACAGCCCTAGGGGGAGACACTGCTCCCTGTCCACTCGCTCTCTCCCCTACCTGTCCACTCGCTCTCTCCCCTACCTGTCCACTCGCTCTCTCCCCTACCTGTCCACTCGCTCTCTCTCACCTACCAGTCTACTCACTCACTCACTCTCTCTCCTACCGGTCTACACACTCTCTCACTCCCTCTCCTACCTGTCGACTCACTAACCCTCTCACCTACCTGTCGACTCACTCACCCTCTCTCCTACCTGTCGACTCACTCCCCCTCTCTCCTACCTGTCGACTCACTCACCCTCTCTCCTACCTGTCGACTCACTCACCCTCTCTCCTACCTGTCGACTCACTCACCCTCTCTCCTACCTGTCGACTCACTCTCTCACTCTCTCTCCTACCTGTTGACACACTCACTCTCCTACCTGTCGACTCACTCACCCTCTCTCCTACCTGTCGACTCACTCACCCTCTCTCCTACCTGTCGACTCACTCACCCTCTCTCCTACCTGTCTACTCACTCTCTCACTCTCTCTCCTACCTGTTGACACACTCACTCTCCTACCTGTCGACTCACTCACCCTCTCTCCTACCTGTCGACTCACTCACCCTCTCTCCAACCCGTCGACTCACTCACCCTCTCTCCTACCGTCGACTCACTCACTCACCACTCCTCTCTCTCCTACCTGTCGACTCACTCACTCACTCTCTCTCCTACCTGTCGACTCACTCACTCACTCTCTCTCCTACCTGTCGACTCACTCACTCTCTCTCCTACCTGTCGACTCACTCACTCACTCTCTCTCCTACCTGTCGACTCACTCTCTCACTCTCTCTCCTACCTGTTGACACACTCACTCTCCTACCTGTCGACTCACTCACCCTCTCTCCTACCTGTCGACTCACTCACCCTCTCTCCAACCCGTCGACTCACTCACCCTCTCTCCTACCCGTCGACTCACTCACTCACTCTCTCTCCTACCTGTCGACTCACTCACTCACCCTCTCTCCTACCTGTCGACTCACTCACTCCTTCTCCTACCTGTCGACTCACTCACTCACTCTCTGCCCTACCTGTCGACTCACTCACTCACTCTCTCTCTCTCTACTGTCGACTCACCTCTCTCCTACCGGTCTACTCACTCTCTCCTACCAGTCTACTCACTCTCTCCTACCAGTCTACTCACTCTCTCCTACCAGTCTACTCACTCAATCACCTACCTGTCGACTCACTCTCTCACTCTCCTGTCTACTCTCTCACTCCTACTTGTCTACTCACTCTCTCCTACCCGTCTACTCACTCTCTCCTACCCGTCTACTTACTCTCTCTCCTACCTGTTGACACACTCACTCTCCTACCTGTCGACTCACTCACCCTCTCTCCTACCTGTCGACTCACTCACCCTCTCTCCAACCCGTCGACTCACTCACCCTCTCTCCTACCCGTCGACTCACTCACTCCACTCTCTCTCCTACCTGTCGACTCACTCACTCACTCTCTCTCCTACCTGTCGACTCACTCACTCTCTCTCCTACCTGTCGACTCACTCACCCTCTCTCCAACCCGTCGACTCACTCACCCTCTCTCCTACCCGTCGACTCACTCACTCACTCACTCTCTCTCCTACCTGTCGACTCACTCACTCACTCTCTCTCCTACCTGTCGACTCACTCACTCTCTCTCCTACCTGTCGACTCACTCTCTCACTCTCTCTCCTACCTGTCTACTCACTCTCTCACTCTCTCTCCTACCTGTTGACACACTCACTCTCCTACCTGTCGACTCACTCACCCTCTCTCCTACCCGTCGACTCACTCACTCACTCTCTCTCCTACCTGTCGACTCACTCACCCTCTCTCCAACCCGTCGACTCACTCACCCTCTCTCCTACCCGTCGACTCACTCACTCACTCTCTCTCCTACCTGTCGACTCACTCACTCACTCTCTCTCCTACCTGTCGACTCACTCACTCACTCTCTCTCCTACCTGTCGACTCACTCTCTCACTCTCTCTCCTACCTGTCTACTCACTCTCTCACTCTCTCTCCTACCTGTCTACTCACTCTCTCACTCTCTCTCCTACCTGTTGACACACTCACTTCTCCTACCTGTCGACTCACTCACCCTCTCTCCTACCTGTCGACTCACTCACCACTCTCTCCAACCCGTCGACTCACTCACCCTCTCTCCAAACCCGTCGACTCACTCACCCTCTCTCCTACCTGTCGACTCACTCACTCCTTCTCCTACCTGTCGACTCACTCACTCACTCTCTGCCCTACCTGTCGACTCACTCACTCACTCTCTCTCCTACCTGTCGACTCACTCTCTCTCCTACCGGTCTACTCACTCTCTCCTACCGGTCTACTCACTCTCTCCTACCGGTCTACTCACTCTCTCCTACCCGTCTACTCCTCTCTCCTACCCGTCTACTCACTCTCTCCTACCCGTCTACTCACTCTCTCCTACCCGTCTACTCACTCTCTCCTACCCGTCTACTCACTTCTCCTATCGCTACTCACTCTCTCCTTACCTGTCGACTCACTCACCCTCTCTCCTACTCGACTCACTCACCTCTCTCACTCTCCTCATTCCTACCTGTCTACTCCACTCTTCCTCTCCTACCTGTCTTCTCACTGCACTCACTCTCCACCTTCACTCTCCTCACACCTGTCGACTCACTCTCACACCTGTCACTCCTACCTCTCCTCACTCTCTCCTACCTGTCTACTCACTCTCTCCTACCTGTCGTCGACTCCCTCACTCACCCTCTCTCCTACCTTCGACTCACTCACCCTCTCTCCTACCTGTCGACTCACTCACCCTCTCTCCTACCTGTCGATCACTCACCTCTCTCTCCTACCTGTCGACTCACTCTCACTCCTACCCGTCTACTCACCTTCTCACCCTCTCTCCTACCTGTCGACTCACCTTCCCACTCTCTCGCCTACCTGTCGACTCACTCTCTCTCTTCTACCTGTCGACTCACTCTCACACCTGTCGACTCACTCTCACACCTGTCGACTCACTCTCACACCTGTCGACTCACTCTCTCACTCTCCTGTCTACTCTCTCACTCCTACCTGTCGACTCACCTTCTCACTCTCTCTCCTACCTGTCGACTCACCTTCTCACTCTCTCTCCTACCGTCTCTCACTCTCACTGTCTACTCCTCTCTCTCATAACTGTCGATTCACTCACTCTCTCCTACCTGTCGATTCTCACCTCCACTCTCTCTCCTACCTGTCGACTCACCTTCTCACTCTCTCTCCTACCTGTCGACTCACCTTCTCACTCTCTCTCCTACCTGTCGACTCACCTTCTCACTCTCTCTCCTACCTGTCGACTCACCTTCTCACTCTCTCTCCTACCTGTCGACTCACTCACTCTCTTACCTGTCTACTCACCTCTCTCACCTGTCATCATCTCTCTCTCTACCTGATCACTCACCTTCTCACTACTCTCCTCTCCTACCCACGTCTACTCACTACTCTACTCACTCTCCTACCTGTCACTTACTACGTCACATCTCTCTCTCCTCACCTTCTACTCACTCTCTCACCTACCCGTCTACTCACTCTCTCTCCTACCGGTCTACTCACTCTCTCACCTACCTGTCTACTCACTCTCTCTCCTACCGGTCTACTCACTCTCTCCTACTGGTCTACTCACTTCTCCTCCTACCTACGTCTACTCACTCTCTCCTACCAGTCTACTCACTCTATCCTACTGGTCTACTCACTCTATCCTACCGGTCTACTCACTCTTTCCTATCGGTCTACTCACTCTCACACCTGTCTACTCACTCTCTCACTCTCTCTCCTACCTGTCTACTCAATACTCTTCACTCACTACTCTTACTACGTCACTCTCTCTCTCCTACCTGTCTACTCAATATCTCACTCCTACCTGTCTACTCACTCTCTCTCCTACCTGTCTACTCATATCTCTACTCCTACCTGTCTACCAATCGTCTCTCCTACCTGTCCTACCTGCAATATCTCAACTCCCTACCGTGTCTACTCACTCTCTCTCCTACCTGTCTAACTCACTCTCCTCACCCCTACCTGTCTACTCACTCTCTCCACTCTCCTGTCTACTCACTCCCGCACGTCGCACTCCCTATCCTAACCTGTCCTACCTCACTACCTTCCTCCGCTACTATCTATCTACTCACCGCTCTCCTACTTGTCTACTCACCTCGCTACCCTACCACCTGTCCTACCTGTCTACCCACCCTCCCTCTCCGTACCCGGTCTACTCACTCTCCTTCCAACTCCCTCTCCGACTTCACTCTCAACACCTGGTCTACTCTCTCTCATACCCTGTCTACCAATCATCCTCCTCTCCTACACTGTTCTACTCACACCCACTCCCCTCCCCTACCGGTCTAACTCCACTCTCTCACTCCCTTCTCGACCACGCGCACACCTTGTCCTACCTCTCTCCTCATACCTGTCTACTCAATCTCTCTCTCTACACTGTCTACTCACTCTCTCCTACCGGTCTACTCACCCTCTCACTCTCCTACCTGTCTACTCACCCTCTCACTCTCCTACACTGTCTACTCACTCTCTCTCTCCTACACTGTCTACTCACTCTCTCACTCTACCAGACTAATATGCAAACCAAAAACACACAGAGAGAGAGAGATCCTGGTGTACAAGTTGCTGCTGTTACCACCATCTTAATCCATCTTAATCCATCATTCCTAAACAATTAATTTCTGCAGACTGATTGATTTGTGCTGGATGAATGCTTGAGTGTGAAAAACCCAGCAGCGTTGCAGTTCTTGACCAAACCGGTGCGCTTGACACCTACTACCATACCCCGTTCAAAGGCACTTAAATATTTTGTCTTGCCCATTCACCCTCTGAATGGCACAAATACACAATCCATGTCTGTAGGCTTATTAATGGGGCTTATAGTGGTCTTTCTCAAAAACTTTACAGAGAGCTTTGTTGTTGTTGCAGGCCTTAAAGAGGGAAAGCTCTGACAAAGCCTATTAGGACTGAGTAAACAGTCTTAGTAATAATCATAGCGAGGTCTGTATGTGTACAGTTGATAGACCGTGCTAGTCACCTGGAGTTTCTGGTGGAGGAGACAGCAGCGAAGGTCTGGAGGACCACTGGCCAGTCTGAAAGAAAAAAGACAGGAAGGGGATGATTCAGTATACAGTCACAGTGTATACCCTCAACATCATCATTGATGGAATTCCGGTTCGGGTTCAATGCAATTTGATGAGGGTTCAATCCAATTTCTATTTTTATTCCCTCTGGAATCAAGTGCAGTGTTTCCCCTAGGATCAACAGCGGTGGGAAAGGTAGCGGGAGGAGGGGGCTCTTTGCTGCGGGGGTCCGGGAGCATGCCCCTGAGAGATTTTTTTGTAGAACGACTGCGAGAAGGTGACTTAAAAAAAAAACATTTGACTCCAAAATGCATGAAAATTAAATGATGTTGACACCATCTGAAATATAACTGATGGGAGCCACTGCACTGTAGGGAGATGAGGAGCAAGCGTTGGCTGTGCGCTCGTGGCTCTCAATCGTGCCACTGCTCGCTCTGTTTGCTATAAATATAGGTTTTAACTTGTTTCTCTAATCTTATAGGGATAGTGTGAGATTTTGGCAATTACCATTTTTATGTCTCTGCGTGCAGTTTGAATTAAGTTGAAGGTAGTTTCACTAGCGCTAGCACAATGACTGGAAGTCTAGGGGAACAGCTAGCATGCAGATAGACTTCTAGTCATTGTGCTAACGCTAGTTAGCAACTTCCTTCAAACTGCATGCAGAGACATAAAAATGGTATCCATGAGTTCATCGGACTCTGGATAAGTAGAAAAATGGCTTAGTTGCCAAAATGTCACACTGTCCCTTTAAAAGCACTCTCCCTTTAAAAAATATATTATAATATAGTTATATTATATAATTAATATATCGTTTGTTGCGTAATAAATACGATCATGCTCTCACCCATAGACGAGGTAGTTGTTCTCCCAGCGGTATCTCATCTCCAGGACAAACTCCTGCCAGAGGTGAGCCACGGCCCTAACCCCTCCATGGTAGAAGTTAACCAGACACACACACAGAGCCAGGCGGTACGTCAGACTGTCACTAGGAGCAGACTTGAGCTGGTTGTACAGGTTCTGGATGGAGGGGGGAGGGTTGACAAAGAGACTACAATCAGGATGCAGTACTGCAGAAGATTTCACTAATCAATGATGGATTTACTGAATGTGTAAGTTTGACAACTGAAAATTGTATTTGTGAGTTTCATTCAGTTAGGAACAATCTCGTTCACACTGAAAAAAGACGAGTACTTTTATCAGACAAGTTCAGGTATTTCAAATTGTTTCTCGAATGTCATTCCTACTGAACACACCCCTGGTGTACAACGTCTGTCTGTGAGAATGATAGTAAAATAGAGATAGAGGGCAGACATACATAGTCGTCAGAATCCTTCTCTTCTGGTTTCCCATCAGTATTCAATTGAGAAGCCTTGATCTCGCTGTTCTCTGATGATGACTTGTCTATGGCAGCATCTGGGAAGAGATACTGAGACACACACAAATATGAGCTTAACCATTCTCTTACATAGGGAACATCAATTCCATCTTACCCTTTAGACAAAAAAATACCTCAATTACAATTCTGCTACTAACAGAGTCTGCTTTAAAATGTTTTATTCACCAACTGACTCACCACTGAGCCTCTAGGCCAATGGCAGTGTGTTTATCCCAAATGGCACCCTATTCCCTATATAGTCAACTACTTTTGACCAGGGCCCATAGAGGCCCTTTGGGACTTGCCAATTGGGACGCAAAGTGTCTTCACGGCTGATTAAGAAACTGTTCCACACAGCAGTGCCAGTAACAGTGGAGCCTGGCTGCAGACTCAGCTCCCTTTCTCTCCTCTCAGAGAATGGCTGGAGCTCTCTCTCTCTCTCACAGCCACTGAGGCAGAGCCACTTGTGTAGTATGTCAGCCAGACTAAATCCCCATAAGCCTTCAGAGGGCTGCAGTAGACGTCTGAGCAGGCCAAACACATAGCCTAGTGAACCCATCAGAGCTGATGCATGGTTTATTTGGGGTTTCATTGTGCGTGTGTGCGCGCGCGCATGTCTAAGCGTTGCCGCTCTCACCAGCAGTATGGAGTTGAGCACATCGTTGCTGAGCGGTGATTCGGCGCCGCGGCGGTGGCGGCGGATGCGTTTGCGGGCGCTGTGCACCATGTTAGAGACAGAAAGCTTGGGGATGGGCACGGCCGTGGGCTCTGTCAACTTAGACAGGGCATGGCTGATGTCATCTGTAACAACAGGGGAGGGAAGGGGGGAAGAGAGCGAGATATAAATTATACACAGGGAGGGAATGAGGGTGGGCTCTGACAGAGACAGCATATGCTCCCTTCACATGCACCAGCAAACAAACAAAAACTAAAAGACACAAGCCAAGGGTCTCAATAGTCCAAAGTGGCTTCATGTTCTACTCTTCTTTTCCTCCATCAGCACTGAGCTCTGCACAAATCCCCTTTGGGTTTACAACATATTGGAGAATGAGAGGGAGTGATGTTAGACTATTGAGAAACACCCCAGTAGCCATAGCACACACTAATAGAGGAAGTCCTATTACCTTTGCCTTCCTCCTCAACTGGACCCCGTCCCAGGATCTCCTCTGTTGTCTCCTTCTTAGAGCACATCTTGAAGAACTCTGTCAGGAAGTCACCTGGGATGGGGAACATTAGGTTTTATTCCATTCAATTCAAAGTCTTTATTGTAGGGTTGGGCGATGGCAACCTTTGTCTTATCGTGATTAGGTACCCCTAAAACATTGTGATATATGATGCTCTCGCTATTGGCCACCAAAAAATACAATCAGGTAAAACGACAGATGGGCTATAGCGCAAAATCGAATGCAACTGGAAGAATCCTGACAAAATATGTTGTTGTTGAAAGCCTGGGCAGAGGCCAGGTGCAGGCAATGGCAAATCTTTTCTAATATTCCTTCCGCGTTCATGATGTTGCAGTGACTGTCTGATGAGGAACGGGCTGTCTTACTGTCATAAGTTAGGTTACTGGCCTACATCATTGGCTGGATAGAAGCAGTCTACCGTCTTCAGAACTGGATAATAAATCGCTTTATTTGCATCATAAAATAATAGAAAAATAAATAATAATTGTTTGTTCTCCCGTTCTCATTAAGCTGTGATTGAGAATAGCCTAAGCCTAGGCTAAGGACATAGACTTTCATTATTGTTATTTTTGAAAGCCACAACACCTTCTTAGGCTACAATATTTGGGAAATAAGCTACTTTTCATAACTTTAACTTGTGGTAAAGCTTTTTAAAAATATATATATATATATATATACATATACACACACATACATACATACAGTACCAGACAAAAGTTTGGACACACCTACTCATTCCAGGGTTTTTCTTTATTTTTACTATTTTCTACATTGCAGAATAATAGTGAAGACACCAAAACTATGAAATAACACATATAGAATCATGTTGTAACAAAAAAAGTGTTAAATCAAAATATATTATATATTTGAGATTCTTCAAAGTAGCCAGCCTTTGCCTTGATGACAGCTTTGCACACTCTTGGCATTCTCTCAGCCAGCTTCTTGAGGCAGTCACCTGGAATGCATTTAAATTAACAGGTGTGCCTTGTTAAAAGTTTATTGGTGGAATTTCTTTCCTTCTTAATGCGTTTGAGCCAATCAGTTGTGTTGTGACAAGGTAGGGGTGGTATACAGAAGATAGCCCTATTTGGTAAAAGACCAAGTCCATATTATGGCAAGAACAGCTAAAATAAGCAAAGAGAAACGACAGTCCATCATTACTTTAAGACATGAAGGTCAGTCAATACGGAACATTTCAAGAACTTTGAAGGTTTCTTAAAGTGCAGTCGCAAAAACCATCAAGCGCTATGATGAAACTGGCTATCATGAGGACCGCCAGAGGAAAGGAAGACCCAGAGTTACCTCTGCTGCAGAGGATAAGTTCATTAGAGTTACCAGCCTCAGAAATTGCAGCCCAAATAAATGTAACAGACACATCTCAACATCAACTGTTCAGAGGAGACTGCGGTGATCTATTCATGGTCGAATTGCTGCAAAGAAACGACTACTAAAGGACACCAATAAGAAGAAGAGACTTGCTTGGGCCAAGAAACACGAGCAATGGACATTACACCGGTGGAAATCTGTCCTTTGGTCTGGAGTGCAAATTTGAGATTTTTGGTTCCAAACGTGTCTTTGTGAGACGCAGAGAAGGTGAACGGATGATCTCTGCATGTGTAGTTCCCACCGTGAAGCATGGAGGAGGTGGTGTGATGGTGCTTTGCTGGTGACACTGTCGGTGATCTATTTAGAATTCAAGGCACACTTAACCAGCACGGCTACCACAGCATTCTGCAGCGATACGCCATCCCATCTGGTTTGCGCTTAATGGGACTATCATTTGTTTTTCAATAGGACAATGACCCAACACACCTCCAGGCTGTGTAAGTGCTATTTGACCAAGAAGGAGAGTGATGGAGTGCTGCATCAGATTACTTGGCCTCCACAATCACCCGACCTCAACCCAATTGAGATGGTTTGGGATGAGTAGGACCACAGAGTGAAGGAAAAGCAGCCAACAAGTGCTCAGCATATGTGGGAACTCCTTCAAGACTGTTGGAAAAGCATTCCTCATGAAGCTGGTTGAGAGAAGTGTGCAAAGCTGTCATCAAGGCAAAGGGTGGCTACTTTGAAGAATCTAAAATCCAAAAAAAAAAAATGATTTGTTTAACACTTTTTTGGTTACTACATGATTCCATATGTGTTATTTCATAGTTTTGATATTTTCACTGTTATTTTATGATGTAGAAAATAGTAAAAATAAAAAATAAACTTGAATGAGTAGGTGTCCAAACTATCTATCTATCTATCTATCTATCTATATATATATATATATATATATATATATATACACATACACACACACACACACACACAGTGGGGAGAACAAGTATTTGATACACTGCCGATTTTCCTACTTACAAAGCATGTAGAGGTCTGTAATTTTTATCATATGTACACTTCAACTGTGAGAGACGGAATCTAAAACAAAAATCCAGAAAATCACATTGTATGATTTTTAAGTAATTAATTTGCATGTTATTGCATGACATAAGTATTTGATCACCTACCAACCAGTAAGAATTCCGGCTCACACAGACCTGTTAGTTTTTCTTTAAGAAGCCCTCCTGTTCTCCACTCATTACCTGTATTAACTGCACCTGTTTGAACTCGTTACCTGTATAAAAGACACCTGTCCACACACTCAATCAAACAGACTCCAACCTCTCCACAATGGCCAAGACCAGAGAGCTGTGTAAAGACATCAGGGATAAAATTGTAGACCTGCACAAGGCTGGGATGGGCTACAGGACAAGGCAACAGCTTGGTGAGAAGGCAACAACTGTTGGCGCAATTATTAGAAAATGGAAGAAGTTCAAGATGACAGTCAATCACCCTCGGTCTGGGGCTCCATGCAAGATCTCACCTCGTGGGGCATCAATGATCATGAGGAAGGTGAGGGATCAGCCCAGAACTACACGGCAGGACCTGGTCAATGACCTGAAGAGAGCTGGAACCACAGTCTCAAAGAAAACCATTAGTAACACACTACGCCGTCATGGATTAAAATCCTGCAGCGCACGCAAGGTCCCCCTGCTCAAGCCAGCGCATGTCCAGGCCCGTCTGAAGTTTGCCAATGACCATCTGGATGATCCAGAGGAGGAATGGGAGAAGGTCATGTGGTCTGATGAGACAAAAATATAGCTTTTTGGTCTAAACTCCACTCGCCGTGTTTGGAGGAAGAAGGATGAGTACAACCCCAAGAAAACCATCCCAACCGTGAAGCATGGAGGTGGAAACATCATTCTTTGGGGATGCTTTTCTGCAAAGGGGACAGGACGACTGCACCATATTGAGGGGAGGATGGATGGGGCCATGTATCGCGAGATCTTGGCCAACAACCTCCTTCCCTCAGTAAGAGCATTGAAGATGGGTCGTGGCTGGGTCTTCCAGCATGACAACGACCCGAAACAAACAGCCAGGGCAACTATGGAGTGGCTGCGTAAGAAGCATCTCAAGGTCCTGGAGTGGCCTAGCCAGTCTCCAGTCCTGAACCCAATAGAAAATCTTTGGAGGGAGCTGAAAGTCCGTATTGCCCAGCGACAGCCCCGAAACCTGAAGGATCTGGAGAAGGTCTGTATGGAGGAGTGGGCCAAAATCCCTGCTGCAGTGTGTGCAAACCTGGTCAAGACCTACAGGAAACGTATGATCTCTGTAATTGCAAACAAAGGTTTCTGTACCAAATATTAAGTTCTGCTTTTCTGATGTATCAAATACTTATGTCATGCAATAAAATGCAAATTACTTAAAAATCATACAATGTGATTTTCTGGATTTTTGTTTTAGATTCCATCTCTCACAGTTGAAGTGTACCTATGATAAAAATGACAGACTTCTACATGCTTTGTAAGTAGGAAAACCTGCAAAATTGGCAGTGTATCAAATACTTGTTCTCCCCACTGTATATATAGCATTCTATTGGTTGCAAGAATTTTGTATAATGATTTAAATTGAAAAACTCGTAAGTTTTGAATCCGGCGTCGTTTTGTGTACCAGTTCATACACCATGTGCCATGGAATCGGTACATCGAAACCTGTATGGCGCAGCTGTACATTTTTTGGTCATTAATGGAAACTGGTCTACTTTTTAATTTCAACAAATACTTGTTCTCCCCACTGTATATACACACACAGTTGAAGTCGGAAGTTTACATACACTTAGGTTGGAGTCATTAAAACTTGTTTTTCAACCACTCCACAAATGTCTTGATAACAAACTACAGTTTTGGCAAGTCGGTTAGGACATCTACTTTGTGCATGACACAAGTAATGTTTCCAACAATTGTTTACAGACATATTATTTCACTTATAATTCACTGTATCACTATTCCAGTGGGTCAGAAGTTTACATACACTAAGTTGACTGTGCCTTTAAACAGCTTGGAAAATTCCAGAAAATGATGTCATGGCTTTAGAAGCTTCTGATAGGGTAATTGACATCATTTGAGTCAATTGGAGGTGTACCTGTGGATGTATTTCAAGGCCTTCCTTCAAACTCAGTGCCTCTTTGCTTGACATCATGGGAAAATCAAAAGAAATCAGCCAAGACCTCAGAAGAAAAATTGTAGACCTCCACAAGTCTGGTTCATCATTGGGAGCAATTTCCAAACACCTGAAGGTACCACGTTCATCTGTACAAACAATAGTACGCAAGTATAAACACCATGGCAACTATTGTTTGAAAAACGAGTTTTAATGACTCCAAACTAAGTGTATGTAAACTTCCGACTTCAACTGTATGTGTGTATGTATGCATGCATGCATGTATGTATGTATGTATGTATGCATGTATATATAAAAACATTTAACCCCTTTTTCTCCCCAATTTCGTGATATCCAATTGCGATCGTCTCATCGCTGCAACTCCCCAACGGGCTCGGGAGAGGCGAAGGTCAAGTCATGGCGGGCTGGGCGCCAAACCGCGCTTCTTAACACCCGCCCACTTAAACCGGAAGCCAGCTGCACCAATGTGTCGGAGGAAACACCATTCAACTGACGACTGAAGTCAGCCTGCAGGCGCCCAGCCCGCCACAAGGAGTCGCTTGAGTGTGATAAGCCAAGTAAAGCCCCCCTGGCCAAACCCTCCCCTAACCCGGACGACGCTGGGCCAATTGTGCCCGCCCTATAGGGCCTCCCGGACGGTTGTGACACAGCCTGGGATCGAACCCGGGTCTGTAGTGACGCCTCAAGCGCTGCGATGCAGTGCCTTAGACCGCTGTGCCACTCGGGAGGCCGTCTTAAAGCAAAACAAAACTATGCTACATTTTATCTCTGGGACCCTTTGGATGACAAATCAGAGAAAGATTACTGAATGTAAGTATATTATTTACCTTCAGAGGAGAATGTATCAAAGCAGTTGCCGTGATAAGTTTTTTGTTGTTGTGCAGTCTCCTCAAACAATAGCATGGTATTTTTTCACTGTAATAGCTACTGTAAATTGGACAGTGCAGTTAGATTAACAAGAATTTAACCTTTTTGCCCAAATAAGACATGTCTATGTACTGGAAAGTTTGCTGTTCTTTACAAACAGTCATGCTAATCACATTAGCACACGTTAGCTCAACCGTCCCGTATACGGGACACCGATCCCGTAGAGGTTAATAAGCTTAAACTTGATTAAACTTGCCATTCGTTTTTCTATTGGCTATTAATATTGTTTGTTCTCTCTAATTATTAGTACTCTGGCTACCTTAAGTTTTTAGGCTATTCAAATAATTTTTTGAGATGGAAATCTGTTACATTCATTGTTTAAATCGGGAGAAAACCATGAATAAAACGATGAAGCGTAGCCTTCAGTCATATTCATACCCTATCGAATGGAGAGTGAAGGGAATATAGGCCAAGTTTTTTTAAACTGCAAGACACAAGATAGTTCATCAGTGTCCGATATAAAAAATACAAAAATAGGTTAAGGCTATATAGCCTAATGCCCATGCATCCGACAGAGAAACAATATTTTCTGACTGGACATTTTGCGCTGCTTTGGTGGAGTTTTCCGCTGTCTGGCCTATATTCCTCTTCTGTGTTATGTAGGCTATATAACATATTTATCGAAATAGGCCATAACAAATAGGAATAGGCAAATTACTCAGAATGTCACTTGTGTGCTGCCCTGCTGTGCGCTGCGATACTCCCGTTTTTTACTGCACGGCACCAGTCAAGTTCAAATAGGCTAAACCAATCGTCGGTCACATCATGATTTAGTCACCATCAACCCAACCCTACTTTATTGTCCAACAAATCTTAGAAAAGACGTCTTGGGATGTAGATCCCCCTAATCCCACTATACACATATCTGGTAGATGAAGGACAATGGAAATGCACATTACAGTACATGGGTATCAATTGGATTCTATAATGTTTCTGTAAGGTCAGTAAGTATTTTTGTGAGGGTCTTACCGAGCAAACACGTGGGGCTGTCTGCTTTCCTTACTCGGACTGACCAATGAGGGGCCTGGAGCGGGTCCAGGTCACTGAGGTCACACAGAAAGGACAGTCAGTTAACACAGGGGAGGAAGGTAAAACTGGCCCTGGATCATATAAGCGGTTCACGTTTACCATTATAGTCAAGGTTAGGTTAGGACTGAACAACGGCTATTAAAACATGGTGCTCTGAAAGGAGGAAAGGTTCATTGTTAGTGTGGTTTAGTTTACGGTCTGGTATTTCCTGGTGTTAATATAGGGATTATATAGTGGAAAGAGTAATTACATTATAATTATCTATTAACTTATTGGATTATTTGGGATCCTTGAAATAAGAACCACTAGGTATCAGTTGCTATATAATCTACACTGAGTGTACAAAACATTAAGAACACCTGGTCTTTCCATGACAGACTGACCAGGTGAAAGCTATGATGACACTTGTTAAATCCACCTCAAATCAGTGTAGATGAAGGGGAGGAGACAGGTTAAAGAAGGATTTTTAATCCTCGAGACATGGATTGTGTATGTGTGCCATTCAGAGGGTGAATGGGCAAGACAAAATATGTAAGTGCCTTTGAAGGGGTATGGTAGTAGGTGCCAAGCGCACCGGCTTGGTCAAGAACTGCAACGCTGCTGGGTTTTTCACAGTCAACAGTTTCCTGTGTGTATCAAGACTGGTCCACCACCCAAAGGACATCCAGCCAACTTCATACAACTGTGGGAAGCAATGGAATCAACATGGGCCAGCATCCCTGTGGAACGCTTTTGACACCTTGCAGAGTCCATGCCCCTACGAATTGACGCAGTTCTGGTGGCAAAAGGAAAGTGTTCTTAATGTTTTGTACACTGTGTATATTACCCAGTCAGTCAGGGAAGGTAGAATTTCAATTTCAAGTTGACACGAGGCAAGTCATATCTTTTTTTAAATCCCAAAATATAATGTCTAACATTTCTATCCCAGAATGCCCTAAGGGAATTCAACAATAAATACAACCATCAAAATAAACCCCAAAACATCTTTGGAGGAGGACCATCTTAGGCTGGGCTAATCTCTGTCTTCGATTTTCAGAGGGCTGACATTAGGCTCTACGTCTTTATACAGTGAATGTCATGAAAATGTAGGATGAAGGGACTCGAAGAAAAACAAACACTGTTAATAAGAAGTGATGGCTCACTGAGCACCACTTCATCACTAAACTGAAAAGCATAAAATCATTCAGCTTTAATGCAGTTGAACGAGCGAGTGGTGTAGCTGGGGCACAGTACTTGTTATATCCACTCCCACACAACTCCTCCACATCCGCCCTCAACACCTACACTGTCTGGCACACAGGAAATTAATATGGACAACAACCTTTCACAGTTTTTCAAAGGGAACTTCTTTCACCGTTGACATCACCTACCTGGCGGTTCCCTCTCTCCGTCTATCTCAATGCTCACTTACTTGATGAGTTTAACCTGGCTACTGGTTCTATTTATTGAAGATGACACCTCCATCTTCCCTGTCTAAATACCTGTCATTCTGTGGGGGACAAACAATGTTCTTGATAGATCGTAGCTCAGGTTGTTGATATGTTTTTTCAGTGTGTGTCAACCAGAAGGGCAGAGGGGAGAGGGAGGGTGGTGGTGGATACTTACGAGTACACATCGTTATCCACCACAATGCCTTCTGTCAGGTGGGGCCAGGTGGTGGCTAGGTGAAGCTCACTGAGACAACAATTAAATAAAATACAGGTATGTTTGTTTTTCGTAATCAACTTCACATTATGAGATTAACTAATTACATAAAACATTTAATTAATTAATCATACTAAAGACACAAATACTACACATGACCAATGATGTAAATCTCTAAATCAAGCATGAATTGTTTTGTCGTCATGGCTACAGTACCATCGGTCCTACCTGATTGGATCCTCACACGCTCCAAACGGAAGCTTCCCGAACTCCACCCCTCCCACCTCACCTCCGAGGAGAGCGTCGAAGTCTGGAGAAGACAAAAAAAAAAAAAAAACACACTTTTACCTTAATTGTTCAAACATGACTTTGATTCAGCACACAATACTTTCAGAAGAACCAACACTGTAAACACTTTTTATGCTTTATCATCTTCAATGCCTTGAAGGCAGGCAAATTCATCCCATAAAAACTAAAGGTCCAAATATATTCTGGTCTCTCTAATTAGAACTCTCTGGTCCCATTCAAGAGGAGCAGAAATAGTGTCTGTTTGTAAGCCGTTTAAAAAGCTCTCCAAGCTCTTGCTTTTTACCGCCTTCCCTGCACCACTCAAAGAGTTGAGCATCTCTTTGCAGCACTAAAATGTACCCCGGAGAGCAGCACTTAACATGACCGTGGAAAGAATCATCCACTATTGAATTTGGAGCAAAGAGAGATCGAGTGGATTATATCAGTTTCCTAAAAAAGTTGGTAACGCGCGTGGAGGCATTGAAAGACCGCTTCCAATACACTATGGGCTAACCTATACAGGCCAAGCACCATTTTTAAGTTCAGGAGTAAAGATATAATAAGTCACATAATAAGTTGCATGGACTCACTGTGTGCAAAAATAGTATTGAACATGATTTTTGAATGAATACCTCATCTCTGTACCCCACACATACAATTATCATATGTAAGGTTCCTCAATCGGGCAGTGATTTCAAACATAGATTCAACCACAAAGACCAGTGAGGTTTTCCAATGCCTCGCAAAGAAGAGCAACTATTGGTAGATGGGTATAAATAAATAAAAAGCAGACATTGAATATCCCTTTGAGCATGGTGAAGTTATTAATTACACTTTTTGGATGGTGTATCAATACACCCACTCACTACAAAGACACAGGCGTCCTTCCTAACTCAGTTGCCAGAGAGGAAGGAAACCGCTCAGGGATTTCACCATGAGGTCAATGGTGGTTTTAAAACAGTTACAGAGTTTAATGGCTATAATAGGAGAAACCTGAGGATGGATCAACAACATTGTAGTTACTCCACAATACTAACCTAAAATGACAGAGTGAAAAGGAGGAAGCCTGTACAGAAAAAACATATTCCAAAACATGCATCCTATTTGCAATAAGGCACTAAAGTAAAACAGCAAAAAAATTGGCTAAGAAATTAACTTTATGTCCTGAATAGAAAGCGTTAAGTTTGGGGCAAATCCAACACAACAGATCACTGAGTACTACTCTTCATATTTCCAATCATGGTGGTGGCTGCGTCACGTTATGGGAATGGAATAGAGCTAAACATTGTCAAAATCCTAGAGGAAAACCTGGTTCAGCCTGCTTTCCAACAGACACTGGGAGACAAATTCACCTTTCAGCAGGACAATAACCTAAAACACAAGGCCACATATACTTTGGAGTTGCTTACCAAGACGACATTGAATGTTCCTGAGTGGCCTAGTTACAGCCTTGACTTAAATTGGCTTGAAAATATATGTCAAGACTTGAAAATGGCTGTCTAGCTATGATCAACAACCAACTTGACAAACAAATATTGTACCATCCAGGTGTGCAATGCTCTTAGAGACTGATTATCTTGTGTAGATCGTTGACAAAAAAATGACAATTAAATCCATTTTAATCCCACCTTCTAACCTAACAAAATGTGGAAAAAGTCAAGGGGTGTGAATACTTTCTGAAGGCACTGTAGCTCCTTCACGTTTCATATTTTGTGGTTTTACTGAACAGATAGGATGTGGTTTTATAAGAGCAGACAGGTAAGGTAGGAGGAGTTAGACGGGCAGTGGGCTGCATTCGAACCCACATCGACTCTGGTATACAATGGGGGAAAAAAGTATTTAATCAGCCACCAATTGTGCATGTTCTCCCACTTAAAAAGATGAGAGAGGCCTGTAATTTTCATCATAGGTACACGTCAACTATGACAGACAAAATGAGAAAAGAAAATCCAGAAATTCACATTGTAGGATTTTTAATGAATTTATTTGCCAATTATGGTGGAAAATAAGTATTTGGTCAATAACAAAAGTTTCTCAATACTTTGTTATATACCCCTTGTTGGCAATGACACAGGTCAAACGTTTTCTGTAAGTCTTCACAAGGTTTTCACACACTGTTGCTGGTATTTTGGCCCATTCCTCCATGCAGATCTCCTCTAGAGCAGTGATGTTTTGGGGCTGTCGCTGGGCAACACGGACTTTCAACTCCCTCCAAAGATTTTCTATGGGGTTGAGATCTGGAGACTGGCTAGGCCACTCCAGGACCTTGAAATGCTTCTTACGAAGCCACTCCTTCATTGCCCGGGCGATGTGTTTGGGATCAGCAAAGTGCAATACTATTGTTCCCTGTAATCTCACGATACATGGCCCCATTCATTCTTTCCTTTACACGGATCAGTCATCCTGGTCCCTTTGCAGAAAAACAGCCCCAAAGCATGATGTTTCCACCCCCATGCTTCACAGTAGGTATGGTGTTCTTTGGATGCAACTCAGCATTCTTTGTCCTCCAAACACGACGACTTGAGTTTTTACCAAAAAGTTATATTTTGGTTTCCATCTGACCATATGACATTATCCCAATCCTCTTCTGGATCATCCAAATGCACTCTAGCAAACTTCAGACGGGCCTGGACATGTACTGGCTTAAGCAGGGGGACACGTCTGGCACTGCAGGATTTGAGTCCCTGGCGGCGTAGTGTGTTACTGATGGTAGGATTTGTTACTTTGGTCCCAGCTCTCTGCAGGTCATTCACTAGGTCCCCCCGTGTGGTTCTGGGATTTTTGCTCACCGTTCTTGTGATCATTTTGACCCCACGGGGTGAGATCTTGCGTGGAGCCCCAGATCGAGGGAGATTATCAGTGGTCTTGTATGTCTTCCATTTCCTAACAATTGCTCCCACAGTTGATTTCTTCAAACCAAGCTGCTTACCTATTGCAGATTCAGTCTTCCCAGCCTGGTGCAGGTCTACAATTTTGTTTCTGGTGTCCTTTGACAGCGCTTTGGTCTTGGCCATAGTGGAGTTTGGAGTGTGACTGTTTGAGGTTGTGGACAGGTGTCTTTTATACTGATAACAAGTTCAAACAGGTGCCATTAATACAGGCAATGAGTGGAGGACAGAGGAGCCTCTTAAAGAAGAAGTTACAGGTCTGTGAGAGCCAGAAATCTTGCTTGTTTGTAGGTGACCAAATACTTATTTTCCACCATAATTTGCAAATAAATTCATTAAAAATCCTACAATGTGATTTTTTTTTCTCAATTTGTCTGTCATAGTTGACGTGTACCTATGATGAAAACTACAGGCCTCTCATCTTTTTAAGTGGGAGAACTTGCACCATTGGTGGCTGACTAAATACTTTTTTTCCCCACTGTATATATATGTGCCGGGGTCAGCGGCTCTAATAACTAGACACATTTCTTCCAGTTAATGGGCTGTGTGGTTGTGTTGTTGGTGGTGCTTACCAGGGGGCTGCTGAGGCCAGGAGTACTGCTGCCAGTCCTGCAGGACATACGTGAAGCGGATAGCAATGTTGATGGGAGGCAGAGGAGTCAGGGGACAACCCTGGAGAACAACAGGAAAGAGAAGAGAAAAAGGGAGAAGGGTAGAGACAGAAATAGAGACAACATTATGTAATATCTTGTGCTATCCATCATATGCATCACATAATTTAATTGTAGGGGCTGGGTGCCCGGACCCAGATTAAGCCTAGTCATGGCTGAAAAAGCATGCTCAATGGAGATTCACCTTTGAAAGTACATCCTAGTTCACTATGCTTACTCTCATTCCGGGAAACCAGTCTTACAATTATTTATGGGTGACCCATGTGAAAGGCACTACTCATAATAGCCCATGTAAGGCAATTAGTCATAAACCCTGGTCCTTCCATACTCACTATTTTGGACTTGAAGATGTCCAGCAGGCCTGAGAGATGGTTGTATTGGCTGGGCACCTTGCGGAGATGGACCATCTCAAAGTCAGTACGCACCCCCAGGCCCTGGCACTCCCCATGGTACATCCTCCTCCACTTCTGCTGGATCTGCACAAACATGGGTACCTGGCTGCATGACATCCACAGGGACAGAGGAGATAGAGGACTTTAAAGGGATAGGTCATTTCAAACTCTAATTCATTCAGATGTTTTGTGGGAAGGCAGACACACATTGATATCCTGTTGCTACTGTAACTACACCTGTTTTTGTGTCAAGATGAGTTAATGTCCCATGCAATCCGTTGTGAAGATCTAGCTATATGCATCACCTCCAAATGAATGAGAAAGATAAGCACCATCTAGTTTAATCATTTTAGATTTTGTTCAGCTTTCCAATTCGTTTGGTATTGAGGCATACATTTGGAGCTGCACAACAGACGAATCATGATGTTTGAAAAACTTTGATTTTGAAGTGATCTCTTTAGAGACATCCCAGGCATCTCTGGTATCAATGTGGAAGAGCAGCCACACACTGAAATCCTGTAATTACCTCAGCATCCCTGTTCTACCACAGCTACACAGCAGCACCTGGTGCACAATAGAGAAATTACAGACAAAACATATGCCACCTAGCGGATTGAACAAGTATGGAATTGAATAATAAGCCTTGTAATATCTGTTGAATATTATTCTATTCAACAGTCGGTCATCCTTTTTCAAATTTTGAAGTCACAAGATTGTGGTAAAAAAAAAACGGTTGCAGTAAATGCTATATGCATTAGTAATAGAACAAGTGCTCATGTAAGAAATTAACTTGAAGCTATATGTTCTGATGGTCTGCTACATGCTTCCTCCTATTCTAACCGTGTGTTATTAGTGTCATTCTGCCTCACAGTAAACTCCCAGAGACACAATGGGAAGCCAGGTGACCTTGCTGCTACCACAAAGCAGAGCTGCAGATCCACAGCACTCGGAGCAGCTACAATGCTACCATCTCCCATCTAGCCCGGCGTTGCCATGGATACCAGCTGACCTACCGCAATACGATGCCACGGAGAGCTGTACTCACCACCCACAGTGTTGCTATTTTAAAACATGGATTGTGACATCATACAGAAACACATACAAAGGGCATGTTGCCACTAGATGTATGAATGTGTAAGAACTAACATCGTTTTCCCATAGTGTAGATTCATGAATATGAATAGAACACATTGGCAGTATAGGCTCTTTTATTTGTCAAAGCAAATTCTGTTACCAATATTAACTTGATTTTCCATAAGAACATAAAGTGTTGTGGCATACCAATGTAACTGTGAATTATAACAATTAAACTGTTCCCAAAGAGTATTAGTTAATATAGTATTCACTGTTGCTCTGAGTTACTGTCACCTACCAGCCTGTGTTGGCCAGAGAGATGGAGATGGAGCTGAGTAGCAGGTTGCACTTGGACTCACTGATGACCGCCTCACAGTTGGCCCCGGGGGAGATGACCACAAACTCACGCATGCCATACCTGCAAACAAAGACGGGACACTTTAATGAGAGCAAACAGCTACCATCTATCAAGTTGGGAGTTGAGTCTTATTAAAACAAAAAAACTCTATAATATATTCTCAAAAGGATCAGACATCAGCTGGATTTGGTGTTAACGAATATCAATAGCAGTTGTGAATGTCTATGTTCAGTCATTTTAATTCCCATCTTAACATAAAGGTAAGAGGTACATTTTAGAGGTTAGGGGTTGGAGGTTAGGAGACCTGGAGTACTGTACTCACCATCTGACGAGGCAGTGGGCCCTGGGAGGGAAGTCATTGTTCATACAGAGCAGGTCCTGCATGGCTGTGGGGAAGGCATCTGGGGAGAGAGCAGTGGAAACTTCACTTATATTCTCTAATATCCACTAAGATTCTCTCTGTTGCTAGAGAGCAGAGCAGTGGGCAAGACAAAACTGTAGAGTTCATCCATTTAGTCTCATCATGTAGTGACAGTGTTTCCTCTATATTAATTTAGCAGCGGTGGAAATTGTGGCCACCAGTCCCAAAAATATGATGTAAAAAAATGTATATACACTACCAGTCAAAGGTTTGGACACACCTACTCATTCAAGGGTTTTTCTTTATGTTTACATTGTAGAATAATAGTGAAGACATTAAAACTATGAAATAACACATATGGAATCATGTTGTAACCAAAAACATGTTAAACAAATCAAAATATATTTTATATTTCAGATTCTTCAAATAGCCACCCTTTGCCTTGATGACAGCTTTGCACACTCTTGGCATTCTCTCAACCAGCTTCATGAGGTAGTCACCTGGAATGCATTTCTATTAACAGGTGTGCCTTCTTAAAAAGTTAATTTGTGGAATTTATTTCCTTCTTAATGCATTGAGCCAATCAGGTGTGTTGTGACAAGGTGGGGGGGGGGGGGGGGGGTAAAAGACCAAGTCCATATTATGGCAAGAACAGCTCAAATAAGCAAAGAGAAATGACAGTCCATCTTTACTTTAAGACATGAAGGTCAGTCAATATGGAACATTTCAAGAACTTTGAAAGTTTCTTCAAGTGCAGTCGCAAAAACCATCAAGCGCTATGATGAAACTGGCTATCATGAGGACCGCCACAGGAAAGGAAGACCTAGAGTTACCTCTGCTGCAGAGGTAAAGCTGTGACCAGCCTCAGAAATTGCAGCCCAAATAAATGCTTCACAGAATTCAAGTAACAGACACATCTCAACATCAACTGTTTAGAGGGGACTGTGTGATTCAGGCCTTCATGGTCGAATTGCTGCCAACAAACCACTACTAAAGGACACCAATAAGAAGAAGAGACCTGCTTGGGCCAAGAAACACGAGCAATGGACATTAGACCGGTGGAAATGTGTCCTTTGGTCTGGAGTCCAAATTAGAGACTTATGGTTCAAACCGCTGTGTCTTTGTGAGACACGGTGTGGGTGAACGGATGATCTCTGCATGTGTATTTCCCACCGTAAAGCGTAGAGGAGGTGGTGTTATGGTGTGGGGGTGCTTTGCTGGTGACATTGTCTGTGATTTATTTAGAATTCAAGGTACACTTAACCAGCATGGCTACCACAGCATTCTACAGCGATACACCATCCCATCTGGTTTGGGCTTAGTGGGACTATCATTTGTTTTTCAACAGGACAATGACCCAATACACCTCCAGGCTGTGTAAGGGCTATTTTACCAAGATGGAGAGTGACGGAGTGCTGCATCAGATAACCTGGCCTCCACAATCCCCCGACTTCAACCAAATTGAGATGGTTTAGGATGAGTCGGACCGGCAGAGTGAAGGAAAAGCAGCCAACAAGTGCTCAGCATATGTGGGAACTCCTTCAAGACTGTTGGAAAAGCATTCCAGGTGAAGCTGGTTGAGAGAATGCCTTGAGTGTGGAAAGCTGTCATCAAGGCAAAGGGTGGCTATCTGAAGTATCTCAAATATAATGTAAATGTTGATTTGTTTAACACTTTTTTGGTTACTACATGATTCCATGTGTTATTTCATAGTTTTGATGTATTCACTATTATTCTACAATGTAAAAAATAGTAAAAATAAAGAAAAACCCTTGAATGAGTAGGTGTGTCCAAACTTTTGACTGGTACTGTATGTATAATAATAATTTGGGACGGTAAAATGTTTTCGGTCTAAACTTAAGACTAAAACCAGATATATGGCACTATATATTTTTTTTAATAAACTCATCTTTGAGAACTAACAACCACCAGAATAAAAAAAAAAATTAAAAAAAATGTTATAATGTTTGAGTCACTCAGATAGCATAAGAACACAGAATTAGTCATGGCAAATTGTGTAGAATTTCATGGCAAATTGTGTAGAATTGCAGGAAATCTACTTTAAAGTAACTCTACAGTGTTTCCAGATTCCTATGAAATATGAACTATAATTACTTACAATACGAGTAAAATAACTTTCCTTCCCAAAATGTGTAATTAAGTATGTTAAAAAGCTGCTTTTCTGTGTTGGAATGGTGTGGCATACCCCACCAACAGAATGGTGTGGGCGTATACCGGTCATTCAAAATATGAACACGAGTAGTCGCTGATTGGCCAGCTCATCCTCCTCAGAGTATGATGTCATACTCTGAGGAAATAGCAAGTCTTTTTGAAACGGTTTGTTTGAGATACAAGTTTGAGGTGGGGTTTTTGAAGTGTTTTTTCTAATTCATGCTTTGGCCACAAATACAAGTATAGGATGAGTCAACAACATTATTTGGGTATGAGTTAACAGAATATTAACTTTTAAAAGTGAAATTATCTGCAGCCAAGAAGGGGGCCTATAAAATGTTGGGTTGGAGACCGTGCCATTGGCCAAACCCACTACCCCCTCCCTACACTAACTTTGCTACCACTGCTGAAAGAAATCCTAGGGGAAACACTGAGTGACAATTCCTATGAGACATATGATAACAGGGATTATAAATAAAAGCCGCAGCAGCACAATACCCTCCTCAGGTTCCTCCTTCCCCTCGCCCTCCTCAGAGTCCTGCTTCAGGCAGTGGTGCGTTATGGAGAATTTAAAATCAGCAAAATTGATATCCTGGGTCTTCTCCTCCCAGGTACCACTGGTGTATTCACCCTGGATCAAGAGGACAATCAGGGCATCCATGATAATCAACAAGCTTACCAGATCGCTGCTTATTAATGCATGGTGCTTGTTACATAACAGTAAGGTCTGATTGAATTACTGTTTATTGTTACCTTCTCTGGTGGTTTGCTTGAATTGTTCCCAATCAGCTTCCAGTCATTCAGAACCTCTTCTACTCTGGACACAAACCTAGCAAACGACGTCGGGATCATAACATGTACCATGAGAAGTCAGAGACCAGTGTTCACACAAGCAGGTGTGCAAGCACGCACACACCCACACAATCTCAAAATAAATGGCTCTGGAAAATATTGTTGATAAGGACAAGCTACACTACAATCCAAAAGTATGTGGACACCTGCTCATTGAACATCTCATTCCAAAATCATGGGCATTAATATGGAGTTGGTCCCTCTTTGCTGCTATAACAGCCTCCACTCTTCTGGGAAGGATTTCCAACTAGATGTTGGAGCATTGCTGCAGGAACTTGCTTCCATTCAGCCACAAGAGCATTAGTGAGGTCGGGCACTGATGTTGGGCGATTATGCCTGGCTCGCAGTCTGCGTTCCAATTCATCCCAAAGGTGTTCGATAGGGTTGAGGTCAGGGCTCTGTGCAGGCCAGTCAAGTTCTTCCACACCGATCTCGACGAACCATTTCTGTATGGACCTCGCTTTATGCATGGAGGCACTGTCATGCAGAAACTGGAAAAACAGCCCCAGAACAATATTCCTCCTCCACCAAACTTTACAGTTGGCACTATGCATTGGGGTAGGTAGCGTTCTCCTGGCATTCGCCAAACCCAGATTCTTCCGTCAGATTGCCAGATGGTGAAGCGTGATTCATCACTCCAGAGAACGTGTTTCCACTGCTCCAGAGTCTAATGGCAGCGAGCTTTACATCAATCCAGCCTACGCTTGGCATTGCGCATGGTGATCTTAGGCTTGTGTGCGGCTGCTCAGCCATGGAAACTCATTTAATTAAACTCCTGACGAACAGTTATTGTGCTGACGTTGCTTCCAGAGGCAGTTTGGAACTCAGTAGTGAGTGTTGCAACCGAGGACAGACGATTTTTACGCGCTTCAGCACTCGGCGGTCCCATTCTGTGAGATTGTGTGGCCTACCACTTCGCGGCTGAGCCGTTATTGCTCCTAGACGTTTCCACTTCACAATAACAGCACTTACAGATGTCCGGGGCAGCTCTAGCAGGTCAGAAATTTGACAAACTGACTTGTTGTAAAGGTGGCATCCTATGACGGGCCACGTTGAAAGTCACTGAGCTCTTCAGTACGGGCCATTCGACTGCCAATGTTTGTCTATGGAGATTGCATGGCTGTGTGCTCGATGTTATACACCTTTCAGCAAGGGGTGTGGCTGAAATAGCAGATTACACTCATTTCAAGTGTGTCCACATACCATGTAGTGTATGTAGGGCTCTGCTGAGCTGTCAACATTGGTAAGAACAGTTGCTATCTTTCGCAATCCTGATGTGACAGGACAGCTAGCTAACTAACAGAACAAAAAAAGATTGCCGTTTTGAAACTGCAGTAAAAGTGAAGTAACTGCAGTTTTGGCCGCAGTAATTGCAGAATAACTGCAGTGTCCTGCACTGTAACTGCAGTTGTACTGCAATCTTTTTTCGTGAGGGAATGCAATGCAAACCAGCATAGCTAGCCAATTGAGCAATGTGATTGACAGCACAAGAGGAGACAAGCAAGTTGTCTGCCATATACTCAGCATATTATGCTAGCTATATGGAAGAGGCGAACTATATTCGGCCAGCCATGAATAGTTTCTAAACCAATTATTCTATCTAGTCTGATGATGATTCACAACTACTGTTAGCTAGAGCTAATTTAGCTAGCCAGAGATCTAGTCTCCACCTACCTCTCCCACTCTGACGCGGTGGTAAAATCCGTGATCTCGAAGACCTCTGACTCGGGCTGTAACAGAAAGGAAATAATTTAACGTTAACATCCAATATTTTCTGAACATTGTTAATATGATGCAATGTTTACTCTATAAACTGTACACCAGTACCGTACTCACGTCACTGTCAGCAGCCATCATGAATTCCTGTTTATAATTTTTGCTGTCCGTTGCATTATGGGATTGACGGAGTCTCTTCCGCAATTAAGCAATGACGTCACCGAACTTGATACTTTTTACACCAAGAAATAGATTTTGACACAAGGCTCGTGCTTTGAAGCACTCCTAATGACAATTGACAATTTACCTTCATTCAAATCCTTTGTTTTAAATTCCTTTCATTAATGCAGTTGAATTTGTTCATCTAGTAGTAATAGTAGTAGCAAATAGATCTTACTTTTACAACTTACTCTTGGAATTAATATCAGTCTGCATATTGTCAAACACTCTGATACAATTATTGCTTTGATACATGTTGTAATATATTTGTTACTAAAGGCAATATGATGACATAATAATAAGCCATATAGGCCTTCATTTAATAAGACAATTGGAGACATGAAATGCCTTCATGGACACTCATGTTGCCAGCAGATGGCAGCAAATAGTGACACATGTGACATTACACAAGGAATTACCGAACACACAATGCCAGTTCCATAAGTCCCCGTGGCTCATCAGTTCTTCCAATTTATTCGAACCGAGGAGGTAAGCAATCTACACACTTAAAGAAAAAAATATTAATTGTGCTCAAAAGCTAATGCTTATGTAAGGTAGGCAATGTCTTTTACTGGAATTTCAGTTTGGTATTTTACCAAAAGTGAAAGAGTGCCATGTGTTTTTGGTGCATGGAGGTTGCTGCTAAAGAAGGTACTGTAACAAACTGGACTGCAATGCAATTAATGAAGTATAATAATGTGTCTGCATGCATAATAACACAATTTCATGTTCTTATTATTCTAGGTTCCACTGTGATTAAGAGGGAGATTACATCATTTCCATCATGAAGTCAGTTGTCAGCATTTCTTCCTCTGTTAGGGCTGTGTGTCAGTATTCGCCCAACTATTTCATGACTAGTAGTCGGAGGTTAATACAATGTCACTCAAATTCACTTGGAAGAATATTGAAATCGGACGTTTCTTGTAAAGCCAGAATGGCACAACCATGTGTGAAAAGTAGTTTAGGCTGCTTCCATAACACACGTGAGATGGGGGCGGTGGCGCAACAGTTAAGTAACCTGTCATTTGCAGAAGAGAAAGACTACGAATTAATGGTTCACCTGGAGAAAGGCCTTTTGCCTAAAACAGCTGGACAGCCATCCATTGACACCCAATTAGGAACCAGTTTTTCACCAACAAAGCTAGGCCCCCTAAAAGTGGAGCCACTCTCTGTCAAATCCCTTTTTGAGGTTGAGGTTCTACCGGAGTTGTTAACACGTTTGAAAGAAGCTCCCAGCAATGAGAAAATTGAGGGTCTGGCAACCTTACTGGGAGTATGTGTTGAGCTTGGTGTGGACTATCAAAGTTCAATTGCCTCCAGATTGAAAGAGCAGTGGAGGACACACCTCTCCAAAACAGACATTGGGGTCATGCACCTGTGCCATCTTGGAGAAGTGGCCTATAACCTGGAGGGGAAGAGGTCAGAGATTGTCGATCAGGTTCTCGACTCCGTGAGCATCAGCATTGATGAGGCTGAGGCTCTCACCCAAAATGAAACCGCTCGTGTGTACTCCTTCCTTGCACTACTCGAGGACCCACACCGTTGCCAAGATCTCATGTCAAGACTGCACAGACACACAGAGAAACTGATACACAGACTACGAGCCAGCAACATCAGTAACATCCTCCACTCCCTGATAGCATTACAACAGAGGCAGGCTATTGTGCTGATTCTAAAGCTGAGCAGACGGGCCTCTAGAGTATTCAAATCTTTCCAAGATGAAGAGCTCATCAAAGTTCTAGGTGCCTTAATGCATTTCGGTCAGCATGATGAAGAGTTCATAACAGCCATGGAAAAGCACCTGCCAGGCAAAATACTGGACGCAGACCCTGAACTCACAAGCGTGGTGATGGAGTTTTGCCTTCAGATGAGGTGTCGCTCAGAGCCCATATTCGAAGCTGTGGCTGAGAGCTTTATTTGCAACTCAGAGAAGTATACCACACCCCAGATAGCCCAGCAGATCATTGCCATGGGGAGACTGAACTACCTGCCCCAGTGCTCCAGTCAGATGTTTAAGATGCTGGAGAGTGTCCTGTCCTCTCGCTTCTCCCAGTTCGAGCCCAGGGCTCTGATTGAGGTGCTCCACTCCTGTATTCACCTGGAGAGGTTTCCACTCAACTTTGTGTCCAAAGTCTTCAGCCCCTACTTCCTACAGAGGTTGCAAGGTAGGCTAGTCAATCTGTGTGTGTGTGTGTGTGTGTGTGTGTGTGTGTGTGTGTGTGTGTGTGTGTGTGTGTGTGTGTGTGTGTGTGTGTGTGTAAAAAGTGAGTGAGCGAAAGTAAACGGGCTACATGTGAGTATGTGGGTGCACAATTTCATGTCGTGTGTGTATATCTAGGTAACAGGGTCAGCTTTGTCCTTTCCATTCAGTTGCAACTGTTCACAGCTGAGCTAGCCAGAGTCATGTTATGTATGTGTTTCTGTTCTTTCACAGCACAAGGGGAGCCCCTGGACAAGCATGCCTTAGGCCAGCTAACCCAACTCAACCTCTCTACCTCACTAGAGTGCACCTACTACCGGGTGAGTCCCTCTCTATGAACATTGTAAATATACAAATAAATCACACAATAATTATGCAAAATTATCTGTAAAATTAAAACCCTCTGATTCTGTTCAAAATCAAATCAAATTGTATTTGTCACATCCGCCGAATACAACAGGTAGACCTTACCGTGAAATGCTTACTTACAAGCCCTTAACCAACAATGCAGTTAAGAAAAATAAGAGTTAAGAAAAATATTTACTAAATAAACTAAAGTAAAAAATAAAAGAGCAACAATAAAATAACAATAACGAAGCTATATACAGGGGGTACCGGTACTAAGTCAATGTGCGGGGATACAGGTTAATCGAGGTAATTGAGGTAATATGTACATAGATAATAGATAATGAACAGCGAGTAGCAGCAGCGCAAATAGTCCGGGTAGCCATTTGATTAGCTTTTCAGCAGTCTTATGGCTTGGGGGTAGAAGCTGTTAATAAGCATTTTGGACCTAGACTTGGTGCTCCGGTACCGCTTGCCGTGCGGTAGAAGAGAGAACAGTCTATGACTAGGGTGGCTGGAGTCTGGCAATTTTTAGGGCCTTCCTCTGACACTGCCTGGTATAGAGGTGCTGGATGGCAGGAAGCTTGGCCCCAGTGATGTACTGAGCCGTACGCATTACCCTCTGTAGCGCCTTGCGGTCGGAGGCCGAGCAGTTGCCATACCAGGCAGTGATGCAACCAGTCAGGATGCTCTCGATGGTGCAGCTGTATAACTTTTTGAGGATCTGAGGACCCATGCCAAATATTTTCAGTCTCCTGAGGGGGAATAGTTACAATGGACTTTTACGTGTCACACCGAATGAAAAATATTATTTTAAAGTAGTTGGATTGAACAGTAAGTTCATTCTGATGTATATACTGTATATTATATTGTATTCCGTACAGGGCCCCAGATTACCTTACCACCTCCATGTGAGGAAGTTTTCCTCCATCGACCACTCCTTTGAGAGCCCTATAGAGGGCTACCTGTACAACCAGGTGAAGGGCCCTCTTAACAAGCTGCTAGGGGGAAAGACCTACTACTCTACCAAGGTCTTCACACAGCCTGGATACACCATAGACGTGGAGATCTGTCTGGATGAGGAGGGGTTTGTCCTGCCTCTCTCACAGTGGGACCACACTCATAGGAGGTAAGAGCCATTGGAAATGTGTTAGAGAGGATCAGTCTGACAGGGCGCTGCACAGACTCATTCACTGATCTACAAATCACCTTGTTTTCCAAAGTGCCCAATATGTGATCCTTACTTCCAAAGATTCAATTCAATTAAAATACAACCATTTATTGCAATGAGCAAATCTTCACAGCACCTTGTTCAGGCAGATCCTCCTGGACACAGACTCTCGGACACAGAGAATGATAATTGTTGCATTTCATGACTACATTTTCCTCTATGTAGGATTGCCTTGTGCCTGGATGCTCAGGACCGCTTCTGCAGCAACACCCATCACCTCCTGGGGAAGGAGGCCACAAAGAGACGCCACCTCTGCAGAATAGGCTACGAAGTGGTTCAGGTACGGAAACTCCGCTCCTGGTTGCAGGATAGAATAGACACACAATGTGAGGTGTGTGGAATGTGTGTTAGTACTGTATGTGCTTTGAATTCATCTCTATAATCAATGTAATGTGTCATTTTCTGTGTAATTCTGTAACTGAGTTACATTTGTCTTCATTTAAAAAAAATACTCCATCTGACATTGTTCTTTGTCTTTATGTTCCCCACCAGATCCCTTACTTTGAATTTGAGAAGTTGAGAACACAAGAGGAACGGGTACAATACCTTCATAAGAAGATATTCCCCACAATCTTCAGGTTTTACCGGTAACTTCTCAGATAGGATAAGAGGACGTTGTGTGACATCACATCCAAGCCCTGTGAACTCTGACCTGACATGGCCTTCAAAAAGATGAACTAGGATGTTTCTTAAACTTTCTACTAATCATCACAGAAAACATTGGATTGGATTTCGGCTTGAACCTTCCGTTTATAAAGCCTTCATGATACTATTGTTATGACAGTGTTGGGCTTATGACAGAGTGGTCTAGAAAAGTGTTAACAGTCATTGTACATAATGTATGCATGTGATGGCATTTTTCACAAAATATGGACTATGGCTATGGTAGGTAATAGTTCAACTAAACTGTATGCTTCCATATAGGAGCTTTCTGCACTTTGTTAGTTATACACTGACTCTATATTCATAAATGAAACAGGTTTGTGTTTCCATGTAAGCTTGAAAGTACTGTATATTTTGTACAATATACTGCATTTTCCATTACAGACATTTGATTCTATATTGCAAAATAAAATCTTTTTTTGTGTGTAAAACCAGTTTTCAAACTACTATGGGGGAAACTCAAAGTTCCATCGCTGTTGTGTCTTTTTGGAAACAATAAATATGATTTGTATAAAGCCTCAGCTCTCTAAGTTGAAGGGGAACATAAAGCAATAGATTAAAAGGTACTTAAAAGCTGGCAGGCATATGGACCAAAGCATGTCAAAGAGGTGCTCTGCATAACAGGCTTTATTTTGAAGACAAAGCAATATCCCATACATGTGACGTGAAATATGAGCCTAATACTGATTAAATACTGATTAACTACAGAGGTGAGCGTCAAGACAGCTTGTTGTGACAGAGAACCAACACATTTTTGGTGTCATTTATTATTACTAATTCATATAGGAAAAATTAACATTTTACAGATCTCACTGCTAATTGTAGGCATGCACACAGTATTACCTTTCTTTGTTTTAGAGGCCCATTCAGACTGGCATTTAATCTACTGTTGGCCTGCCTGGCTGGCAGGCTATCTCCTTGGTAACAGAATGTAAACAGTAGAGCTAGTTAGGAGGGGAGGTGTGCACACTACACAGGGAAGGAGAGCAGACATACAATGAAGAAGCTGTTTAAACAAGAAGGAAGTTTACTTGTAAAACAGCTGCTATAGAAATGCAGAACACTATATTTGAAGAACATTGGAGTAAATGTGAAGCATGAAAATTGGGCAAAGGGTTGAAGATATTTCAAGTCGGAGACCAAGAATACTGAAGGTGAGTAAAGTTTTTAATTTCACTCAACTACTGCTTTTCTTTTTCGAGACTTCTTGCTTTAACTACAGTGAGGGAAAAAAGTATTTGATCCCCTGCTGATTTTGTACGTTTGCCCACTGACAAAGAAATGATCAGTCTATAATTTTAATGGTAGATTTATTTCAAACAGTGAGAGACAGAATAACAACAAAAAAATCCAGAAAAACACATGTCAAAAATGTTATAAATTGATTTGCATTTTAATGAGGGAAATAAGTATTTGACCCCTCTGCAAAACATGACTTAGTACTTGGTGGCAAAACCCTTGTTGGCAATCACAGAGGTCAGACGTTTCTTGTAGTTGGCCACCAGGTTTGCACAAATCTCAGGAGGGATTTTGTCCCACTCCTCTTTGCAGATCTTCTCCAAGTCATTAAGGTTTCGAGGCTGATGTTTGGCAACTCAAACCTTCAGCTCCCTCCACAGATTTTCTATGGGATTAAGGTCTGGAGACTGGCTAGGCCACTCCACGACCTTAATGTGCTTCTTCTTGAGCCACTCCTTTGTTGCCTTGGCCATGTGTTTTGGGTTATTGTCATGCTGGAATACCCATCCACGACTCATTTTCAATGCCCTGGCTGAGGGAAGGAGGTTCTCACCCAAGATTTGACGGTACATGGCCCCGTCCATCGTCCCTTTGATGCAGTGAAGTTGTCTGGTCCCCTTAGCAGAAAAACACCCCCAAAGCATAATGTTTCCACCTCCATGTTTGATGGTGGGGATGGTGTTCTTGGGGTCATAGGCAGCATTCCTCCTCCTCCAAACACGGCAAGTTGAGTTGATGCCAAAGAGCTCCATTTTGGTCTCATCTGACCACAACACTTTCACCCAGTTCTCCTCTGAATCATTCAGATGTTCATTGGCAAACTTCAGACGGGCATGTATATGTGCTTTCTTGAGCAGGGGGACCTTGCGGGCGCTGCAGGATTTCAGTCCTTCACGGCGTAGTGTGTTACCAATTGTTTTCTTGGTGACTATGGTCCCAGCTGCCTTGAGATCATTGACAAGATCCTCCCGGGTAGTTCTGGGCTGATTCCTCACCGTTCTCATGATCATTGCAACTCCACGAGGTGAGATCTTGCATGGAGCCCCAGGCCGAGGGAGATTGACAGTTATTTTGTGTTTCTTCCATTTGCGAATAATCGCACCAACTGTTGTCACCTTCTCACCAAGCTGCTTGGCGATGGTCTTGTAGCCCATTCCAGCCTTGTGTAGGTCTACAATCTTGTCCCTCACATCCTTGGAGAGCTCTTTGGTCTTGGCCATGGTGGAGAGTTTGGATTCTGATTGATTGATTGCTTCTGTGGACAGGTGTCTTTTATACAGGTAACAAACTGAGATTAGGAGCACTCCCTTTAAGAGTGTGCTCCTAATCTCAGCTCGTTACCTGTATAAAAGACACCTGGGAGCCAGAAATCTTTCTTATTGAGAGGGGGTCAAATACTTATTTCCCTCATTAAAAGGCAAATCAATTTATAACATTTTTGACATGCGTTTTTCTGGATTATTTTGTTGTTATTCTGTCTCTCACTGTTCAAATAAACCTACCATTAAAATTATAGACTGATCATTTCTTTGTCAGTGGGCAAACGTACAAAATCAGCAGGGGATCAAATACTTTTTTCCCTCACTGTATGTCCATTCTGACTGACACTTTTAGTACTATTTCATTCATTGGTTCTAGAATGCTAATCTGGAAATAACTCTTTCCCAAAATGGTTTAAATGACTAGTTGTTGTTTTATGGAGCTATGTGTCATTAATCCACTAGGATGCTGGTTAATGTTCCAGAGATGAATAGCTGTTGTTATTATGATGCCAGTCAGTCCTGTGGTTTGAATTAGTTCTAGTACTCTCTCATTAACTCATTGTCATTGTCTAATTCACATCATGAGTCATTGGCTGTGTCCCTAATGGCACCCTATTCCCTCTATCAGTGTTTCCCAACTCCTCGAGGACTCCCAACAGCACACATTTTTGTCGTTGCCCCGGACAAACTCACCTAATTCAACTCATTGAGGCCTTGATGATTAGTTGACAAGTTGAAGCAGGTGTGCTTGTCCTGGGCTACAACAAAAAAGTGTACTGTTGAGGGTACTATATACAGTGCCTTCAGAAAGTATTCATACCCCTTGACTTACTCCACATTTTGTTGTGTTATAGCCTGAATTCAAAATGGATTAAATATATGTTTCTTCTCACCCATCTACACACAATACCCAATAATGACAAAGTGAAAACATGTTTTTAGAAATGTTTTCAAATTTATTGAAAATGAAATACAAAAATATCTCATTTACATAAGTATTCACACCCTTGAGCCAATACATGTTAGAAACACCTTTGGTAATGATTACAGCTGTGAGTCTTTCTGGGTAAGTCTCTAAAGCCTTGTTCACATTGGCAGGTTGAAGTGACAAGTAAAAAAAAAATGCATATCCGATTCAAATCTGTTCTTTTTCCTGCAGTCTGAACAGCCAAAAAGCACATTGAATCTGATATTTCAAGCCACATTTCAAACCACCTTCGTAGGTGGTTTTAAGTCAGATACAAATCTGATTCCTGGCCATGCGATTTGTGTCAAATCTGATTTATTTGCCCTCACTTGGTTTAAAGACGGTTATTTGGCATATATTTTTGCTTGCTAGCTACTCTGTTGACAGTTTGACAAGAACATGAGGTAGCTAACTAGCTTGTTAATTGTTTACAAACAAATTAGTGAATGTGCAAAAAAGCTAAACAGCTACCAAACTAGCTAGTTGACTGCTGTGGCTAGCCAAAAAGGACTCGTTTTGAAAGTTGGATCATCTTGTCATTTGAGGCTTTAAAAGAGTTCTTACACTATGATTTTGAACATTCACCTTAGCTTGCTACATAACTTATGAGTGACAGGAAGCACAAGCACCACCATCAATCAGCCTACACCACTTTGCACACACCTGTCGTTACTATGACAACTAGCATAGCCATGTCACCAAATAACTATGGTCTGAACTCTGAAAACACACAAATCCAATTTGGTCACTTGTAACTTGCTGTTTGGACAGTCACTATTCCAAAACAGATTTGAAAAACAAAACTGATTTGAGCATTAAGGCCTGTAGTGTGAACAAGGCAAGAGCTTTGCACATCTGGATTGGGCAACATTTGTCCATCAAATTGGTTGTTGATCATTGCTAGACAAAAATGTTCAGGTCTTGCCTAAGGTTTTCAAGCAGATTTAAGTCAAAACTGTAACTCGGCCACGCAGGAACATTCACTGTCTTCTTTGTAAGCAACTCCAGTGTAGATTTGGCCTTGTGTTTTAAGTTATTGTCCTGCTGAAAGGTATCTGGTGGAAAGCAGACTGAACCAGGTTTTTCTCTAGGATTTTGTCTGTGCTTAGCTCTATTCCATTTGTTTTTTTATCCAGTCCTTAACGATTACACACATACCCATAACATGATGCAGCCACCACTTGAAAATATGTAGAGTGGTAATCAGTAATGTGTTGTTTTGGATTTGACCCAAACATAACACTTTGTATTCAGGACATAAAGTTAATTTCTTTGCCACATGTTTTGTAGTTTTACTTTAGTGGCTTATTGCAAACAAGATGCATGTTTTGGAATATATATATTCTGTACAGGCTTCCTTCTTTTCACTCTGTCATTTAGGTTAGTATTGTGGAGTAACTACAATGTTGATCCATCCTCAGTTTTCTCTAATCACAGCCATTAAACTCTGTAACTGTTTTAAAGTCACCATTGGCCTCATGGTGTAATCCCCGAATGGTTTCCTTCCTCTCCGGCAACTGAGTTAGGAAGGATGCCTTTATCTATGTAGTGACTGGGTGTATTAATACATCATCCAAAGTGTAATTAATAACTTCACCATGCTCAGACAGATATTCAATGATTGCTTTTTATTTAATTTTTACCCATCTATCAATAGTTGCCCTTCTTTGTGAGGCAGATAATTGTATGTGCCGGGTACAGAGATGAGGTAGTCATAAAAAAAAGATGTTAAACAGCATTATTGCACAAAGAGTGAGTCCATGCAACTTATTATGTGACTTGCTAAGCACATTTTTACTCCTGAACTTACTTAGGCTTGCCGTAACAAAGGAGTTTAATACTTATTAACTCAAGACATTTCAGCTTTTATTTATTTATTATTTATTTTGTAAAAAAGTCTAAAAACATACAGTGCCTTGGGAAAGTATTCAGTCCCCTTGACGTTTTCAACATTTTGTTACGTTACAGCATTATTATAAAATTGATTAAATAAAACAATTTCCTCAGCAATCTACACACAATACCCCATAATGACAAAGCGAAAACAGATTTTTAGAAATGTTTGCAAATGTATTGAAAACAGAAATACCTTACAATTGTATTTATTTTAGAATAAGGCTGTAACCTAACAAAATGTGGAGAAAGTCAAGGAGTCTGAATACTTTCCGAAGGCACTGTAATTCCACTTTGACACTATGGGGTATTGTGTGTAGGCACTAAAGGCACTGTAGTGCATTACTTTTGACCAGGGGCCCAGCATCAAAAGTAGTACACTGTATAGGGCCCTCAAACACAACTCTGGACATCAAAGCCAGTTCCACAGCTTTTTTCATTGTCCCCCCCTAATTTAGAGGGGACACCAGGTGTGTGCTATTAATTATCAGGTAGAACAGTAAACCAGCAGGCTCCAGACCTCATAGGGTAAGCGTTTAATACTCCTGGTATAGGGGATATAGGGTGTGTAGCGGTCAGGGGGGGCCAGGCTGGCCAACAACTAACGAGAGTGTCAAGTAACACAAGCGTAGACCAACATTTCTCGAGGGAAACGACCCAGGACTTTTATTCAGGGAAATATGTGCCACAGCGCTGGGTAACAATAAAACCAAACCAAAACCTAGCTCGTCTTTGAGCCTTTCTACACAGGTCTTCCGGTCCCTCTCTGCTACCGGACAGCTATGCTGTTTACCAGCGTATCCAACAAAATAAAACAGAAATCCAACAGGCTTGTCCTTACTGGGTCCAGATCTACGGCCAAGTAACGTCCGGTAGGTTCCGGTCCAGTTGGATTCGATATCCCTCCCAGTGTTGGAGGGCCCTGCATGTCAGCTCTTGCTGTTTCAGACCAAAAAGCTGATCCGGCCAAAGCCAGGTTAAAACAGCCACCACCCAACCTCCAAATTAATTATATTTGGGTGTGTGTAATTAGGCTCTTACCCTTCCGGGCCATCCTCTCTCCTGGCCAGCAGATGTAACCAAAGAGCAGGAATATACCGGCCTTCACACAGTCATTCTCTGATACACATTATACAGTAATGAGAGGAAATGTCCTCCCCTCCACTGTCCCTCTCCTACTGGGACTTATTATATTATAGTAATTATTATAATCAGGCACACTAGATTAGGGTTGGTGAAAACCTACAGGACGGTAGCTCTAAAGGAACAGGGTTGGAGAGCCCTAGAGGCTTGCGTCAACACTCAACACAAACATGCTAAAGTCCCACACCACACGTGGAGGGACCAGACCAGATCTTGAAAGAGGAGAGTAACCACGTACCAAGTGTCCACAGCAAACAAACCAAGCTGAACGGCAGCAAGCTACAGAGCAACAAAACAACCCTCACTGTTATCTCTTCCACTCATCCTTCTGGCTTCTATTCACGCCAACTTGGCAGCAGGACCCTTGTGGATGATGGAGAGGAGTGAGAGAAGGGGTCTGGGGGCTGGTGTTGAGGCGCTGAGGGGAGAGCTGGAGGAGGTGGGCCTGGGGCTGGAGGAGCTGGGATATTGTCCCTGGGAGGAGGTGGATGTTCCCCGCATGGAGGGGGGCTGTACTCCCCTTATCACTGCCTGCCAGAGGGGCTTGACTGAGGTAAGCACCATCGGGGGAGGGGGATCCTTCATTCGGTTCAGGGGGAGGTCTGTCTGGTATGTTAGTCTGCTTCAGAGACCCTTTGATTGAACTGAATGGAACTGACCTGATAAGATATGATTAGTATTCTTATTGTTAGTGAATAAGCATATATATATATATATATAAATGGAAACAGCATGGCTGATATGCTTTATACAGACTTTGTTCTGTTTATGAGGTTGCATGTTTATTAGTCTTACACATTATAATCTACATTCAACATAAGCATCACTGTGTGAATGAATTGAAGGAATATTTAAATCGAAAACAGTTTAATATACTGTGAGGATGTGAACAATCCATTTAAACACAGGTGTTGTAAAACAGAAATGTTTTCCTCTGAGCGTTAAAGTAACATTACTCTTCAGTTGTATTTTTCCTCCCAATAACAATAACACGGTGTCATACATGTTACATCTCACGGGGGGGGGGGGGGATTGGTAAGACAGATGAAGACCTCATTATTATACAACCCATGATCATTCTCTGGAGATAAACTATCAAAACAACCACATTACTTTCTGTTAGTATTGTCTAAGGCCACAGGGGAAAGAACTGCTTGCATGTGTCTCAGGAGTTGGGTCTTTCCAGCTTTTGTTTTGACTCTGTATGATTGAACAGATTTCACTGTTACCAAAGCAAAACATGGCATTGTACTTTGTACTCTGAAGAAAACGTACAATAAACCCCATACTATTATGCTGGCTATCATTTACTTGACATTTACTTGACCTTTGCCATTTTGAAATAGGTGACCAAAGCATGTCTTAACCCTACCCTGCCCATACAACATGGGGGGGTATTTAAATGTCGATTTTGTTATCAGGTTGTACACTTCCTTCTGAAAAGAGGAGCCGATGTGACTCTGTGCAACCATAGAAACCAGACACCACTGCATGTGAGTCTTCCTGTCCTCCAGGAGGTGCTGTTATCAGCCATGTTCAGGCCTCTGTCCCACCAGACCCAGCTCCTCCAGGCTGCCTGGCAGGGAGACCTCGACTCCCTGCAGCACCTCCTGGTAAGTCCCCCTCCCCCCAAACCTCCTTTACAACGCCTCACCATAGAACACACACACACACGCACAAGCAAGCACCAAGAGTGCACACACAGTCACTGCCACTGATATCACTCCCAACGCCCTTCACATTGTGTAACTGGAAATGTGATACACAACATCAGGTGCTTGTCTAACAACGGGGTAAGCTAGAGTTTAGATTAGCACAAAGGACAGCATTTAGTGGATGCAGCCGAAGCGGCTATGAGCATTCCAACTCTAATCATCTCCAGGACATTTCTCATTTGACCTATCTTTATTCGTAATGCTCTTTCAAAGTGAAGGACATTTGTGGAACTCAGGCACCAGTGCTGACCCTATATATCTATGTCTGGTGTGTTACAGGCCCAGACTGACCTAGTGGATGTGAACACTCAGAACCGCGACGGGCTGACCCCTCTGATGCTGGCTGTGAGGGACGTCGACCTGTTTGAGGGGCTGGACGTCCGGTTGCCATGGGAATACAGACCTGTGGAGGTGGTCAGGGAACTGCTGGCTCTCTCAGCGTAAGGAAACCTGCAGCAATGACAATAACGCTTTGGTTTTGTTATTACAACAGCCTAAAACATTATTACAACAGCCTTATTGCAAAATGACCTTATTACAGCAATACAATCTTATTATAACCTGACAACATAATAATATATTCCACCTCCCAAGCTAACAATTTCCTTGTTCCATAACAGCACTGAACAAATACTATTTCACATTGCCCCTGCATTTTTATTGGTCTATCTCTATAAATTATGTTAATTATTCTCCCTCTGTCCAAACAGTAACCTGGGGGTGCGTGATGTCCACGGCTGTTCTGCTCTTCACTATGCTGCTCAGATAGAGAGCCCCCTGAAAGACCAACTCATCCAGATGATGGTTGTGTCCCTCGGACAGCCAGGTAGAACATGACTTTCGACCAAGATGATCAGACAATGTTGTTACTACAGTTATTACTGTGGAATTACGTGACATGACTTTCAACAGTGATCTTCAGACAAATCCAACATAACACAACAGAGATTTTTGGTATGGTTTGATATATTCTCTGTTTACTGTTGAGGATATTGCAGGGAAATACTTTTATATCCAAGTACAAACCATGTGATCTGCTTTGAGGATTACTTGTTATACGCGTACTAGTACCACACCAAATCTGCTTATGTTTGTGGCAGTTCGTTCTTGTGACATCACAGTACTCAGGTCATGTACAACATGATGCCTTTAAAGTTTTCCTCTAAAGTAGATTTTACAAATCTATCCTGACAGAAATGCAATACAGATTTGATTCATCTATTAGGTTACTGAATAGCAAAGGAGGCTGCTGAGGGGAGAACGGCTCATAATAATGGCCGGAATGGCGCAAATGGAATACCATTTCACTTATTCTGCTCCAGCCATTACCACAAGCCCCTTCTCCCCAATTAAGGTGCCACCAACCTCCTGTGGTGAATAGTATTGATTAATAAACCATTTAGTCGATCTGTGCGGTGTGTACTTGCGTAATCAAATGTTTTCCTGTGCTTGGAGGCGTGGTCAAAGCCAGCACTCATATGGGAAATCCTGGTGAATTCCTGAGGGGCTGAGTGTGTGAGAGAGGGCCTTGTTTCCTTCTTGTGCTCACTGACTCCACTAACTCCACATTTCCGTCTCATTCTTCCCTGGCCAACAAACAGCACCCATGCCCCTGGACCTGCAGTGCTTCCACCTTGATGAGCTGAGAGCAACAAACTCCCCCAGCCCCTCTCCCTCTCTGACCGATGAGCTGAGAGCAACAAACTCCCCAAGCTCCTCTCCTTATCTGATCCAAAATGTCCTAATTCAGACTGTTACCAGCACAGAGGTAAGTGAACGTCATGTTGTACAGTTATGTAAGAAGTGTACAAGTCTGTAATTTTGTGGAGACATGCTTCATAATGTGATTTTGTTCACTATCTGTTATCTGTCAAGATATTTTCACTTAAAGTACATTTTAAGCTCATCAAATATATTAATACAAGACAAGTTCATTACAAGACAAGTTAGTTGTATTGCATCAAAACACTGTTTACTACACCATAGCTTTTGTCTCAATTGCATTATTTATTACTTAACCAAACAATGCCCAAATATCCCTAATCAATCAAAAGGCTTAATCCATGGTAGCTCTTCCGCTAAAGCAATGGGGCCCAATTCACCAGAGGCCTGAGTTAGATCAGTGTAATTGGCTGGTGGGGAGTCTGTGTTCTGACTGGCTGACTCTTAGCTACATCCTGACTTTGCTTTGAAGTGGACTTCACAGGTGAGACTGAGGCAGGGAGCGCAGCTGGCTACTGTCTGATGTCTAATGACCCGGCCCACTTATTGAATAGAGGAAGAGCAGATGGTTGACAGAGGCTACCCCAGGAGCACACAAACACAGCAGACTGGGAGCTAATGTGAAGCTATAGAGAAGGACACCATTTCAAAATTTTAGGCCACCCCCAGGGAAATTAAATGGGGTGGAGTTGTTAATCAGATGTTTAACAATCTAATTTGTTATAGGCTCTGAGACAAATGTCAGGTGTAAACAACAACCACTATCACCATCGTCCTCCTAACTACACTTAGGTCAATGATATCATAGATGTTTTTGTCATGTCAAATGCCACAGGAATTTAGGCTACTATGATCATTCTTATTTGCCCATGTTTTTCCCTTGTAGGATGTTCTGGAGTCTCCAGAGTGTGTTCCTTTATCCGACCATCATAAAGCCATCAGCCAAGGTAGGATGTATTTCCCTATTGTGCACTGACAGTGACTCCTTGTGCCTCTGGTCTGTGTGCCCTGTAGGCTCTACAGAAGACCCCCCCCCCTCCTCCCAAACACACCCTTCCCCTCTCCTCACACACTGGGCCTATCCCACAAAGAGACAGCCACAAAGGCCAGCCCTGCCATGGCCCAAGCTGATTGGCTCAGTGTGCTAAATCACTCCCCTCAGGGAGACACAATACAGACTTCCAGCTGGAAACCTTCCTGACTCCTGTCAGACACACTACAGACACACACAACAGAACAGAGTAGCTCAGAGAGCGAAAACGAGAGTGAGCGAGAGAGAGAGAGAGAGAGAGAGAGAGAGAGAGGTGTACAGCCCCTCTCAATCTCATTCTGTCATATAATCTGAGTAGGCTGAGATGATGGTAGACTGTACTAACTGGCTCTGAAACAGGTAACGTCTATTGTTTCTTATGTTGTTCTCCGACCACTCTGTTTGGAAAGTACTGTAAATGCTAAATGTCATTTGTAGTTTTCTGCACATAGGCTGTGTGCAGGAACAGTTGTGTGTAAAAACAACAAGAGTAAATAGTGTAAAATGTTTGGCATTATACAGTGTTTATAAGTTGTATTATTGGTTAATTTTGATCTTGGTGAAATTCTACTGAGTTTATCATAAACAGTATCATGGTGGAGCGTCTGATTTGTCACTGGACTGTTGTGATACTGAATGCTATCCGACATGTGACAGAGGAACCATTCACTGTTGGCCTGCGACTTTTGCTGTTGACACACAGTAGCAGTAATGTCCCTGCCGTGTGTGAAAGGTACATCAACCCCTACTGACCTCAGGCTGTGTTGGATGTGTCCTGTAGATAAGGGGCTCTCCCTCTCCTTCCAGAGCGCCATGGATACCCTGAGGGACATGAGGCAAGCCTACCAAGATCTGGGGAAGGGTAGCAGGTGGGCACGCACACACACACGCTCCATGTTAATTAGAACGGCTATTAATTAATATAGCAATACAGTAACCACAGAGCTAATTGACAGTCAGGAACCCACCCAAACACCAACACCTGTTCACACAGACACACACAAAAACTTATGCACACATCCTTGCAATCAACAAGCACTCTCGCACACATGAACAAACAAATCCACCATACACTAGTCCCTCCTCCTTGTGTGTACTTCACCCCCCAATCCCCCTTCCACACCTCCCTCTCACTTTTACATAAATACAGAATAAGAAGTGTCCAGTTACACGGTCAGGCCAGCAGTCATCATGTCAAGGGCATGCCAATCTCCCCGAACAGAGAACAGAGGGAGACAGAGAGAAACAGAGGGAGAGAGGGAGGAACAGAAGGAGAGTCTACTTTGCTCTCTGAAACAGATCATTGTCTGTAGGGCTCTTACTGCTGAAAGAGGTCCAAAGGGATCCTGGGAGAATAAACCCCTTTGAAAAGTTCTCTCACTTTACAGCATCAGCTTCCCTGGCCAGCGTCCCTCTGCTGTGCCCTCTGTCCTGTGTCCACACAGAACGGAGAAAGTGCAATTGAAGAGGAGGGACAGTGTTCATTATTAGGAAATGATATCAGATTACCCTACGTCTCAGCTCCAGGTTCAAGATCAAATATATAATATCAAGCCTTGTAAATTTTGTGAATCTTAGATGATTTGAAGGAACCACATTATTTTACCAAGATTGTTCAAGATTGCCTGTGAGGTATATGAACTCATACTAAGGATTTATTCTCAAATCTAATTTGTTCTCTCTTCAGTCGAGGTTCATCTCTACCCAGTCTGTGGTTCAGAGCCAGACACTTAAACAAACTGGATCCTACACTGGGGCTATTGACGACCACGGGAAGCTCCTCCTGCCTGCCTGTTCCCCCCAGGCTCAGGGGCAGATGTGAGGCTGTGGCCCCCAGCCTGGTGTCCCCTCACCCAGCCCAGCTGAGCCAATCTGCCCCCGGTCTATTGGAGCCTCTCCTGGACTCGAGCTCTCTGGTCCAGGCCCGAGCCCACATCCAGAACAGTTAGTAATATAATAATCATATAATGTCTGCTACAGGCTTAGAGGACAATATAAGGTTGCCATGTTGTTGATTAATTTGTTTAGGTAAAGGTCATACTCATGAATGGGTTTCGAGAAGTACTCTTTGTTGAGGAAATTATCTTATGTTTGTAAAGCTTGGCATGTTCTTGTCTTGCAGGGCTTGGGTGTGGTGAAACTGAGAAAACAAGTAATGGTCGAAAGGTAGGTCAACTCGAATGAATAATGTTTTATTTGTACATCACATTTTCATACAGCTTCCTTAGTTTGAAAAACCAACTGTAATTTGATATTTATTCACATTTCCAATCATCTCTGTCCAGAGCTCCTTCCCTGCCCTGCTTCCAGGCCCCATTAGGACCCCCAAGCTGTTAGCCCCTCTGGAGGGGAGGCATAGAGACGGAGGAGTACTGCCCGGCCTGAAGCACCCTTCTCCCCTAAAGCCCATCAGCCTGGTGCCCCTGACCTCCATGCTGAGGAGGGAGAGGCTGGCCAGGACCAGGGTGAGCCCCAGAGGGTCCCCAGGCACCAGGGGGGGAAGCGAAGAGAGCAGCTCCAGTAGCCAGTCCTCCATCGACCTGGAGGAAGAGGAGGATGAGAATAAGAGAGACTTAAGAGAGACTACAGCAAAACAACATGCTGGAGAGACTTTTGAGGGAAGGTTGCACTTGGATCTAGACTCATCTGGAAAGTTTAATGTTGGAGATTACAGTGAGGATAATGCAGCCCATTGGAATAGGGAGTCGACAAGACATCAGGGGGCCTTTACTAGGGATATCAAGGAAGGAGTATCTATCAAATCTGACCCTGAAGGGAGAGGGTACAAAGCAATAATTGAAATGAGGCACAAACTTAACCCCGATTTGACACATTTCAAAGATGTTAAGAGCACTTCATGCTTTGAGGGGGATTGTGAGGATAAGGTTGTGGCAGTGGAACAGACAAAGGTGATGTGCTCAGGGGGTCTCTCAAAAGAGACCACAAGAACTGAGCCAACTACCACATACCCCTTTGTATCTAAAAGAAATGGAAAGAAAGAGATTCAAGTTGATGACAATAATGCAAAGACTGGTGTTGTGGATGACACCAAGTATCAATGTCTTCCTTCTACTGTGAATATCACATTACCTGAATTAAACCCTCCTACAGAGAAAAAGATCAAACCTATCAAGCCTGTCAAGAACAAAGAGAGAAGAGGCAGCACTAGTGTCCAAACCAAAACCAATCAGTCTTTCAACGTCTTGGCACACAAAGATCACATTCGGGGGAACAGCAAGTCCAAAAGCAACCTGAGGACTTCACCCATTCCTTCACAAGTCAAAGGCAAAGTCAGAAAACCTCCTGATCTCATCATCAGTGGGGAGGCCACAGTGAAATCAAGGATAATCTCTACCAAGACTGGTCAGAAAAGCACAGACTCAACCTCTGTCAGAACGAGGGTTACAGAGCCCTTACGTCCAAGCTGCAAAAGGTTGAACAATGACAAAAAGGCACTTACTAAAATAAAAGCCCCTTGTCAGAAACCTATTCAGCAGAGGGAGCCGAAAAGTGCCAGACAACCCAAGACTGGGTCACAACTGGGGACCCTGAGGGCCAAGTCAGCCGTGGACTACATCACCTACAGTGATATGTTCCAGGAAATCAACACCGGGCATGAGGAAGGACCAGTCATCTATGAGATGTTTGCAGGCCCGGTGTTTGACAACATTAGAGTTTCCAGTTCATGTGAGAGGACCAGGCAGGTCCAGTCTGCCCCATCTAGGAAGACCCAAACCCACAGGACCAAACACAAATGCCCTAAACCACTGGAGAGCAGTAGACTGAGGCGAAGCCCAGTGGACAAGGGCAAGCAGAGGAAGAATAGGGCTATTAGGCCTATTTCCAGGGGAAAGTCGCATCTAACGCCTATCGCCATCACGGATGACAAAGACGACGTGGTGGTAATTTCTGCGCTCGACTGGCACATCCAGACGAAGAATGAGCTGCTCCTCAGTAAAGATGGAGAAGAGACAGTCTCTCCCAACACACCAGAGGTTCAGGAGGGGGACCATACGTTGTCACTGTCAGTGATAGATGAAGTGCTGTCAATGTCCAGCCATGCGTCAAACCCACTAATATCTCACCACTGGCCGAGAGACAAAACCTCTCCCAGTCAGACAAAGACTAAACTCACATCTCATTCTGACCCAGACGATGATCGCCTCCATGTGCAGAACAATAGGGGACCCATCGGGAACAACATATCAGAAAATGACAATAACAATAGCAAGGCAAATCACCTAGACCATTCATCCACTCCATCCTATTGCCCAGTGCAGCCTAAGATCAACACCTGGACCTCAGGTAGCTGTGACAGCAGGACCTTGTCCCCTGTGTTCCAGAAGTTTCTGGATGATGTGGGGGAGGGACCACTGACCGATGACCTGCTCCGTTGTCTGGCAGAAGAGCTGATATCACTGGATGAGAGAGATGGTGTATCTCCATGTCCAGAAAACAACTGTGACTCAGACCAGAGGGAATTCAGAAACGATTCTGAGCCGAGATGTGAGAAGTTACTGGGGGTAAGCTAGCACTAAAGAATTACCTACACCAATTACAGCTAATCATATATATAAATCACAAATGTGTAACTTCTTACCCTGTGCGTTTGTCCACTAGGATATTACATCACCTGGAGAAGTGCTCAGTGGGTCTAGGTTGGTAGTGGATGATGCCATCACCTGGAGGAAAGGAGAAGTGCTGGGCAGAGGAGCTTATGGAACTGTGAGTACGTCAGCTTCTCTGTTGCCTTGGAAAAGAGGAAAAGTGACATCACAGTAAAGAGAACCAATCATGCCAACACACAAACCTTGCTATAGCTGTACAATCCCATATCAAAACAAGGCTACCTTCATCTCAGACATTCAACTGAAACAGTTTAGCTAAGCTCTTGGGTATCAAATGAGTACCTGTGCCTGTCTATAATAGGAATTTAAAGTATGTTTTGGCTTTAAATCATAAAGCTTAATATTTTTGCTGTTTTTAGGTGTTCTGTGGACTGACCAGCCAAGGCCAGTTGATAGCCGTAAAACAGGTGGCCCTGGACGCCTCAGACCTCGACACCGCAGACAAGGAGTACAACCGCCTACAGGAGGAAGTAGACCTCCTAAAGAACCTCCATCACAGCAACATTGTGGGATTCCTGGGCACCTCTCTGCGGGACCACATGGTCAGCATCTTCATGGAGTATGTCCCCGGAGGATCCATCGCCAGCGTGCTCCACCGCTTTGGCCCCCTTCCGGAGCGCGTCCTGGCCCTGTACACCCATCAGATCCTGGAGGGGGTGTCCTACCTGCACCTCAACAGGGTCATCCACAGGGACCTGAAGGGGAACAACGTGATGTTGATGCCTACAGGAGTAGTCAAGCTGATAGACTTCGGCTGCGCCCGGCGTTTGAGTTGCCTCACTCACACACACAGTCGTAGTGACCTCCTGAAATCGGTGCACGGCACGCCCTACTGGATGGCGCCGGAGGTCATCAACGAGACGGGTCACGGCAGGAAGTCGGACATCTGGAGCGTGGGGTGCACAGTGTTTGAAATGGCCACAGGGAAGCCGCCGCTGTCACACATGGACAAGATGGCGGCGCTGTTCTACATCGGGGCGAGGAGAGGCCTGATGCCCTCACTGCCTGACGGGTTCTCAGAGGACGCCAGGGATTTTGTTCAAGTCTGTCTGACCAAGTGAGTTGATCTACAATTCTGTACTTACAAGCAAAATGTTACATATAATAATTTTAAAGGGATAGTTCAACCAAATGACTGATGTTTCCTTACCTTGAATGTGGTCTCCGAATAAGTAGATTGGGATCTACACTGTGGGTTTGTATAGAAAGCTACAAAGACTAAAGTAAAACAAACCCAAGTGTGGATTAACATTTCAGTAACTTAATTAGATTAACGATCACTAAGTCAAACAAAGATAAATGTGACAACTCATCAAGTCAGTAAATCATGATAATAAAGGGCATCCAAGTTGAATAACATTATTCTGTCCTCTTTGCAGTGACCAGAAACAGCGCCCATCTGCAGAACAACTATTGGACCACCCTTTCATTCCCAAGCTGTTAGGAAATAGCTCAAGAAGTGCCAATCAGGAACACCTATCAAGAATTAATATAAATGTCAAATGTATTGCTTGAAACTTTTGCACTTCTTTCCTCTGCTATTACACAAATAATTCCTTGAATATTTGGGGCACCTTTGATTTTGCAGAGGATACAAAGCACTTTTGTCAAACATTTGGTTTCCATACTTTTCATTTAGCACACAGTAAATACCAATCATACAACATAGGTCATGTTTTAAGGTAGTGGTAACCTTAAGATTTATTTGTAGAACAAAAAAACAAAAATGGATGTCAAGACTAGCATTTGCCTTCTTGTTGAGAACAAACCACTGTAATGTGTGCCCAAGAGCATAATCACTATCAGTACTGGGGAAACATACCATCTTGGCCTCAATACGAACTCTGTCTGCACACTGAAATAAAGGACTAACCAGTCAAAGAACAGTTACTAGTTTGTGTCCAGAATTGAGAACAATATATTCCATATATAGTAGGAAACTGACCCGTTAAGAGAGCAAACAGCATACGAGCCACCGTAATGTATCAACAACACTGATGGAACATTAAGCCCTACAGCCTTTTCTGCTAGCCTGGTCCCAGATCTGTTTGTGCTCTTGCCTACTCCATTGTCAAGCCATGTCAATTACATAAGGAGTTGGCAAGAGAGCAGAAAGACTGGCACCCAGGCTACTTTTCTGCTGTTTTCTTTCACCAGTCATAAAGAATACATTATTTACCAGTACTGACGTACAGCTTTGTATCTATGGGCTACAGCGTCAAGCCAAGTAATAATTTTGTGTAAATGCACTTCACAGCAAAGGTTAGGCATGTAAACTTTATAGCACTATTATTATTGCCCTATTCTCATGTATATCTTTAGTTTTTTGTGAGGCACAGCCTTTGGCATCCAGCTTAAGTTCATCTTGGAGGTCAAAAAAAAAAAAAGTGTACAAATTGCATGGCCTCTGACAACATGCCAGGTGGTTGGTACTGTTTGTAGGGTCTGGATTGGCTAAATTGGAAAGGTCGAAGGTCAAGTGCCATCTCCTGGCAGCCATGTGTAGTACAGGCTCTAAGCACAACACAGGAACACGGCAGTCAGAATCACTGATGATAGGACTGCTACATCAAGTTACAATAGTATTTTTCCCCAATATACATCTTGTTATACTTACAAGCAGCTCCAAACCTGAGTATTTATGGTATAGCTTTTTAAACATCCAAAAATGCATGTACATTTATCTCCACTTTCTGTAAACAGCGGTCAGCATTCTGCGTTATCCCTTTGATGATTGCATGCAGATCCTACATACAGTATTCAGTATAAAAAATGAGAAACTAATTCAAGAGAAATAAACTAAAAATCCAGCTTCCATTGGCAGCCATGTTTGGCCTACCTCCTCTACTTCTGTCTGAGCTAAGCCCCCTCCTGCCACAACAGTGGCCTGCTCGACTTGTTTTCTCACCAGAATGGATAACAGTTGTGGAAATGGAGTTTAAATTATTATTTAAAATAAACTATTAGAAATTGCACCTTTCATGCCTTTTCAGTATTTATAATACTTATTTTTTTCTCCCAATATGGAGATTTAAACCCAGGTGACCCCCCCTAACACTCACACACGTCCGCATTCCAAGACCCATCCTGAGAATATGGAGGACAAAGCAGCAATTACACACTGAAAGGGCAGGACTATACCAGCGCTGCCAAGAGATCAGATGATCAGGAAGCATTCATTTCTCTCTTTTTGCCTCAACACTTGAGATGTCCTACACTTTCCTTTATATTTTTTGCTTTACCTTCCTATGCTTTGCTATAAAGGGTTCATGAGTTAATTCCTTGGGCACTTAAGAGGGAATCGAGCATGTAAAAGTGTGTGTAGTCTGCCCGTTGGCAGCAAACGCCCGGCCGGCGCCCTCAAGACTGCGGCTCTCCACTGGCTTCTTGTCCAGTTTCACTAGGGTGCTGAGATGTCCGTAGCCCACCTGGTGACAGGGGGAGGAGGGGGAAGGGAAGGTTAAAACCAGAGCTGTGACTGAGACGACACACACTGTGACTGCAGCTGAACAGAGGAACAATGAGAGGAGGAGGAACTACCTGCGCCGCCCTTGGAGCTTTTGCTCGTTTTGGAGGAGGAGTGGTGGTTGTGGCTGGCGACGTGTGGGTGCCCCCTCTTGCGGGAGGAGCTGGAACCAGAACCGAGGGCCGTGCCCGCCACCCCCTCAACACCCCCCAGCCCTAGGGGGCTCCGGAGGAGGGCTGGCCCGGCCCCTGCTGGCCCCTCGGGGCCCCCCCTGGCCGTTGCCACTGTGCTGTGCTGCATGGAGGTGAGAGTGGCCGTGCTGCTTGTGGTGGTGGCGGTGGGTAGAGTGTTCCCGGTGCTTCTCCTTGCTCACTAGCGGGCTGGAATGTTTGCTCTTGGCCCCGCCCTCGTCAGAAGAGCTGTGGCGCTCAGAGGACACCTTGATTTTCATCTTCAGCTCCTCTTTGCTGGCCACAACCCCCCTGAGAAGGAACTGGAAGGCGGAGTTTGAGTGAGCCCCCCTTGTCCCGTTTGTCAGAGGGGACCTTGTCCTGGCCTGGCATGGCCAGCTTCATTTTAAGAGGGGAGGCAGTGGTGCTGCTGCTGCCCCCAGGGTTAGGATGGGGCTGCATGTGTTTCCTGTGGTCTGATTGGACAGAGGAGGGTATATATGAGTCCCTGCCCTCAGGCTCCACACTCTGCTGCTCTGCCCTGCGTTTATGCTGCACCACCAGCTCAGCAGCGTGCTTCTCTCTATACTTGTCCAGGGACATTTTCTGAGCCGGTGGGGGTGGTGGAGGGAAAACTGGCTGCTGTTGCTTCCCCCCACCCCCTCCTACCCCGACCTTGTGTTCATGTTTAGTAGGGTTGAACTCCGTCTTATCTGGTCTGTGTGGGTTCAGTGGAGCACCCTGTTGGAGGCCAAGTGCATCTGTTTTGAGGGAATAGCTTCCTCCCTCCAAGCGACCCCCCGTATCCTGGGGCCAGTCGCTGGGGGCCGTGAAGGTGTAGGAGCTGCCCTGCATGGACGCGATAGAGTCCAGGGAGAGGGGTCCACTGGCGTGCCCCGGCAGAGGGACAGGGAACGAGGAGGCGGCTTTGGAAAAGGCTGAGTTGGAGACCCCAGGGATGGCATCTCCCAGGGAATGTTCGTGGACAAGGGAGGGTCCTGGGTAGGGGTCATTTGCCTGAGAGCCATCTCCCTTGGTCTTCTTGGCAGCTTGCGTGGCCTGGCAAGGGGGAGAAGAGAGAATGATGGCGTGAGGAGGGATTTTGTGAAGGGCATTATATAAAACTGTACAGCAATAAAACTACACTGAATTCAAATCAGCAGACACAGGACGCTCTACAGTATTTAACATGATTAAGAGGTCTTAATGATGATTAACTGGTGAAAAACTGAAGCTTACCCTCCAATTTCGTATCCTCTTCAACCTGCTCGGCGTCTTCTCCAGAATCTGAAGGAACTCATGCGTCAGTTCTGAAGGCAAGGAAAGATCATACTTGGTTTTAACACCTAATTAATTGCAATGAAATATTGCAAACATTTCTCATTGACGAAAACAAACTATTATTCTAAACTAAACCACATTTTAACTGTGCCTTCTTTTCAAACTATGAGCATGAACCAAAATCAAAGCCTCACCATCGAGCAGCTCCAGTGTGACAGAGTTGTCCACGTACTCCCACCAGTGTTTCCCGTCAGTGGAAACCGGGATCTCCCAGTTGGACCATTTACAGGCCAGGTGGATGCAGACGCAGGCGATTACTGTGGGCTTGTGTTGCAGGCAGAAGGTGGTGAGGTGGAGGCTGTGTGAGGAGAGGCCGGAGCACAGCGGGTCACATGGACCAGAGGGAAGAGAAAACAAAGGGGGGGGGGGCCGGGGGGGGAAACGACGACAACGTTAGTTACAGGTGCTTAGGGCTGAGGTAAAACATAGTATACACAGTATTGAGGACAACAGAGAAGAATAATAATCATTGCAACAGAAATGTTACACCCAGATTGACACAGTTGCACACTTATCAAAATAACAAACAATGACTGACATGCAGAATAGATCATGAGTCAGTTTCACATTGTGGCTACCATCCTAGTGTTTACCACAAGGAGCGACAGATATAGCAATAACTTCAATTCAAATAAAAAAGATGACTAGCACGTTTTTTTGTGGGGAAAATGACCGAATTTCACCGTTTATTAAAACATCAACCACCAATAAATAACACACGTGGTCAACATTTTATGGTAATGTGGAAATCTGCTGGCAAAGTAAATTCAAACAGACGCTCATTCAGACTCTGAATTCTTCACTCATGACTAACTGGTTATGGCGAGACATGCACAGAAATGCCTTCTTCTAGTCAACTATAGTCCAAGTTTGTTTGAGTTCTAAAGAACCAGAGTAATGGGGAACTAGATCGAGCTACAATACTGAACCTTACAACATTTTAAAGGCCAGAGAGCTAGATAGCCTACCATTTGAAAAACCATGGTAAAAGCTGGATGGTAACCTTGTGTCACAACAAGTACAATGCCTGGACGCTGGACATAACGCATATTATGGAGAAAATGTTATCCATCTCCTGTATGACTGCGCTGCCTGAGACTAGTTCGCACACAATCCTGAAAAAAAAACAGATCAGAAGTTCCTGAATTTACCATGGTGACTAACCTTAATAGACTCCAAACCCTAGAAATACTAAAACAGGCATTCCCATTCATGTCAATTATATTTTTTTGTCTACAGGTTATGGTCAGTAACCATGGTGAATTATATTTCTATGATCCTACTTGCTGTGGCTGGTCATTGGGTTCAGTTCAGGCATTAAGAAGCCATTCATCCTCTAATTACAGCGATGTCTCCGGCACAGCGTCAACCTCTTATTCTCCTTGTTCAGTGTTATCTATAAGCCTCTCCAGTTCTAACGGGTCAAATGCAGCCGAACAGGCCGCTTTTGGAAGACAATGTCTTTGGCGCTTTGATATTTGTTTCTATAAACAAATTAAATACACACAATTCCATACGATTGCTGGATTACGGCACCTTAATTATGACTAGGCCTAACAGAAAAGCAACTATCAAGATCTGCGTCCAGACACTGTAGTTTGTTTTGAGGGCATTTGACAGTTGGAAACAAAAAGGCTATATTTAAATCAACCCAACACGTCATGTTAAAAGTAACCCTTTAAGGACCTAGTTCCTCGAGAATTTGCAGAACATGAACTGTGAAAGGTTGTTTGTACGTGAAAAGCCAGAAAGCAAGAATAATACGTATGATAATAGGCAGATGTGGCACCAAATCAATATTTTACAATACAATGAAATGGTGTATTGAAACATGAATTCTTCTCTTCAAATCTAAATAAAAAAAACTTGCCATTTGAGTAGGTCCTTAATGGGTTAACATCAGAAATGTAAATTAGCACTTCCATTTCTGTTCTATATACAAATACAGTGCATTCAGAAAGTATTCAGACCTTTCACACATTTTGTTACGTTACAGCCTTATTCTAAAATTGATTAAATAATTTTTTTTACCTCATCAAATCGACACAATACCACATAGTGACAAAGCGAAAACAGGTTTTTAGTTACATTTACATAAGTATTCAGACCCTTTGCTATGAGACTCGAAATTGAGCTCAGGTGCTTCCTGTTTCCATTGATCATCCTTGAGATGTTTCTATAAAACTTTATTGGAGTCCACCTGTGGTAAATTCGATAAATTGGACATGATTTCGAAAGACACACACCTGTCTATATAAAGGTCCTACAGTTGACAGTGCATGTCAGAGCAAAAACCAAGCCATGAGGTCAAAGGAATTGTCCGTAGAGTTCCTAGACAGGATTGTGTCGAGGCACAGATCTGGGGAAGGGTTCCCCAAAAATGTCTGCAGCATTGAAGGTCCCCAAGAACAGAGTGGCCTCCTCCATTCTTAAATGGAAGAAGTTTGGAACCAACAAGACTATTCCTAGAGCTGGCCGCCTGGCCAAACTGAGCAATCGGAGGAGAAGGGCCTTGGTCAGGGAGGTGACCAAGAACCTGATGGTCACTCTGACAGAGCTCTAGAGTTCCTCTGTGGAGATGGGAGAACCTTCCAGAAGGACAACCATCTCTGCAGCACTCCACCAATCAGGCCTTTATGGTAGAGTGGCCAGACAGAAGCCACTCCTCAGTAAAAAGGCACATGGCAGCCCACTTGGAGTTTGCCAAAAGGCACCTAAAGACTCTCAGACCATGAAAAACAACATTCTCTGGTCTGATGAAACCAAGATTGAACTCATTGGCCTGAATGTCAAACGTCACATCTGGAGGAAACCTGGCACCATCCCTACGGCGAAGCATGGTAGTTGCAGTATGATGGGGGGATGTTTTTCAGCGGCAGGGACTGGGAGACTAGTTAGGATCGAGGGAAAAATGAATGGCGCAAAGTACAGAGAGATCCTTGATGAAAACCTGCTCCAGAGCGCTCAGGACTTCAGACTGGGGCAAAGGTTCACCTTCCAACAGGACAACGACCCTAAGCATGCAACCAAGACAACACAGGAGAGGCTTCGTGACAAGTCTCTGAATGTCCTTGAGTGGACCAGCCATAGCCCGGACTTGAACTCGATCGAACATCTCTGGAGAGACCTGAAAATAGATGAGCAGCGATGCTCCCCATCCAACCTGACAGCGCTTGAGAGGATCTGCAGAAAAGAATGGGAGAAACTCCCCAAATACAGGTGTGCCAAGCTTGTAGCGTCATACTCAAGAAGACAAGGCTGTAATCGGTGCCAAAGGTGCTTCAAAAAAGTCCTGAGTAAAGGGTCTGAATACTTATGTAAATGTGATATTTCCATTTTTTATTTTTAATACAGTGAGGGAAAAAAGTATTTGATCCCCTGCTGATTTTGTACGTTTGACCACTGACAAAGACATTATCAGTCTATAATTTTAATGGTAGGTTTATTTGAACAGTGAGAGACAGAATAACAAAAAAATCAAGAAAAACATATGTTAAAAATGTTATAAATTGATTTGCATTTTAATGAGGGAAATAAGTATGACCCCTCTGCAAAACATTACTTAGTACTTGGTGGCAAAACCCTTGTTGGCAATCACAGAGGTCAGACGTTTCTTGTAGTTGGCCACCAGGTTTGCACACATTTCCCACTCCTCTTTGCAGATCTTCTCCAAGTCATTAAGGTTTCGATGCTGATGTTTGGCAACTCAAACCTTCAGCTCCCTCCACAGATTTTCTATGGGATTAAGGTCTGGAGACTGGCTAGGCCACTCCAGGACCTAAATGTGCTTCTTCTTGAGTCACTCCTTTGTTGCCTTGGCCGTGTGTTTTGGGTTATTGTCATGCTGGAATACCCATCCACGACCCATTTTCATTGCCCTGGCTGAGGGAAGGAGGTTCTCACCCAAGATTTGACGGTACATGGCCCCAACCATCGTCCCTTTGATGCGGTGAAGTTGTCCTGTCCCCTTAGCAGAAAAATACTCCCAAAGCATAATGTTTCCACACCCATGTTTGATGTTGGGGATGGTGTTCTTGGGGTCATAGGCAGCATTCCTCCTCCTCCAAACACGGTGAGTTGAGTTGATGCCAAAGAGCTCGATTTTGGTCTCATCTGACCACAACACTTTCACCCAGTTCTCCTCTGAATCATTCAGATGTTCATTGGAAAACTTCAGACGGCCCTGTATATGTGCTTTCTTGAGCAGGGGGACCTTGCGGGTGCTGCAGGATTTCAGTCCTTCACGGCGTAGTGTGTTACCAATTGTTTTCTTGGTGACTATTTCTTGGTGACTATGTAGTTCTGGGCTGATTCCTCACCGTTCTCATGATCATTGCAACTCCGCGAGATGAGATCTTGCATGGAGCCCCAGGCTGAGGGAGATTGACAGTTATTTTGTGTTTCTTCATTTGCAAATAATCGCACCAACTGTTGTCACCTTCTCACCAAGCTGCTTGGCGATGGTCTTGTAGCCCATTCCAGCCTTGTGTAGGTCTACAATCTTGTCCCTGACATCCTTGGAGAGCTCTTTGGTCTTGGCCATGGTGGAGAGTTTGGAATCTGATTGATTGATTGCTTCTGTGGATAGGTGTCTTTTATACAGGTAACAAGCTGAGATTAGGAGCACTCTCTTTAAGAGTGTGCTCCTAATCTCAGCTCGTTACCTGTATAAAAGACACCTGGGAGCCAGAAATCTTTCTGATTGAGAGGGGGTCAAATACTTATTTCCTTCATTAAAATGCAAATCAATTTATAACATTTTTAACATGCGTTTTTCGGGATTTTTTTGTTGTTATTCTGTCTCTAACTGTTCAAATAAACCTACAATTAAAATTATAGACTGATCATTTCTTTGTCAGTGGGAATACGTACAAAATCAGCAGGGGATCAAATACTTTTTTCCCTCACTGTACATTTGCAAAAATTTCTAAAAACCTGTTTTGTCTTCATCATTATGGGGTATTGTGTGTAGATTGATGAGGGAAAAACCAATTTCATCCATTTTAGAATAAGGCTGTAACGTAACAAAATGTGGAAAAAGTCAAGGGGTCTGAATACTTTCTGAATGCACTGCATATGATATAATTCCATGAACATTAAATGTTAATGTGATAAAATGTTAAACTTAAGAAAATACTTAAATAAAACTATTTGGCGAAATTTGAAAAATACAAATAAATAAAAACAAAAGAGGTTAGCGGTACTTACCGGGATGACTTCTACGTTATGTTTACATCTGTGTAATCTTTAGCTGCTATTCAGGCTACCAAAGTGTCTTTTTAGACATATGCACTTTTGTAACCGAGCAAACGTGAGGTTCTAGCGCACCACTACACTTCACATTGTGCATTCAACCCCACTGTGCCAACTCTGGTCCCTTGTACAATACACCGCACCGCAACCGGGGCCGGTACCGCCAAACGCCCCCAACCCGGGGGGGCAAGGAGGGGGCAGGCGTCCCAGTAGCCACCGGCGCATTGAGGGCCGTTGGACACTGAAAGGGTACCCTGCATTAAAGGAAGCTATAGTGTGCAGTAGTCACAGTGCAACAAAGGAGGGTCAGGATAACAACCTGTTGGTAGCCATGAAATAGGAAGTCTGTGCCAGATCCTTGCTTGCTGCAAGTGAAAGAAAAAGAGGGTTACGTTTTGGCCGACCAGTGAGCTCTGATTATAAGGGTTATCATTAGCAGTTCACAAATTTCACATAATGTTTTGTGAACTCTAAGGTCAACAATGATTTGTTGCATAATCATTATGTCAGCATTATCCTCCCTCCCACCCACATTAGAGGTTGAGTGGAATAGAGGACATGAAAGAGCAAAGAAAGAAGCCTCTACCTCTCACTAGCTGGGAACATTTCACCACATCAGTGTGTGGATGTTCAATAGTTATTTCAAATCCTGGAACAAAATATATGACAGGTGAGTTTCAACAGTAACACAGTCAGTCATTGTTTGCATTAAAGCAATGTTCTATGGTTCTTCCCCTCTATTCTTTATCACAAGAGCACAGTCAGGATTACATGTGGACTATGAAAGGGAGTTCTAATTTCTTTCCATCCAAATAAGGGTGAGTATATTGGTGTTGTATAACCAAAATGGTCACAGATGGTGGCCACATAATTAGAGTATTTCATAGTCATAGAGACCACAGATTGGAACATGGATGGGACTGCTGTTTGCCAAGATCTGAGATTCATCATAACAGAAGAACATTTTGACCTGTGCGGGTGCAATAGAATCATGGCAGTGAAGAATGAGCAACATGTTACCATAACATACCTCATTTAAACAGTCGGAAAAATGGCAATCCACCACAGCCTGGCAGCAATGAGCCAACAGAATATTCAAACATACTTTGTAGACTAGATCATGCTCTCACTATACGCTCACTCAGACTTTACTTACCTAAAGTCTGCAGCACTATGGTTTCAAGTATCACCAGCTCTTGAGCTTGCTGGAGGTATGCCTGAAGTTCAATAGACAATCATTACATGACATTTGTAATGTGTCTATCCATTCCCCTATTTCAAAGCCCATTTCCAAACTGTAACAGTATGTTTTTTTTCTCTGTGTCAGTGGTTTCAATTCAGAGTCTTGCTACTAGGAATAATATCAGCACTAAGATCTTGCTGAGACTGGACTGAGACATAAGTCTGACAAAGCCTGAATATTGTCAATCTCGACACACCCTCTGGTGACAAAATGGAGAACATACACTGAGTATACCAAACATTAGAAACACCTTCCTAATATTGAGTTGTGCACCCCCCGAGCTCAGAACAGCCTCAATTCGTCGGGCATGGACTCTACAAGGCGTCGAAAGCGTTCCACAGGGATGTGGGCCCATGTTGCCTCCCATGTTGGCTGGATGTCCTTTGGGTGGTGGACCATTCTTGATACACACAGGAAACTGTTGAGTGTGAAAAACCCAGGAGTGTTGTAGTTCTTGACACAACCAGTGTGCCTGGTACCTAATATGATACGCTGTTCAAAGGCACTTAAATCTTGTCTTGCCCATTCACCCTCTGAATGGCACACATACACAATCCATGTCTCAATTGTCTCAAGGCTTAACAAGTGACATCAGTAAGGGACCATACCTTTCACCTAGATTCACCTGGTCAGTCTGTCATGGAACAAGCAGATGTTCTTAATGTTTTGTATACTCAGTGTATACTAACACTTTGCATAAACCTTTACACTCAAACCTCAATACAATTACACAAAAGCAAGTGTCCAAGCCATTGACAAAATGGGACAAGCAGGGAGGTGGGAAAGGAAAATAACAAAACCTACAATACCCATACTACTCAGACTTACATTACTCTTTGTATCAAGCGGGGTCTCTTGAGGGTTTAGACAAGCATGTGCAACTTTAATAACATGCTCAAGTTTCCGAGGTTGCTCTTCAACTTTCGCAGCTAGGAATAAGGTGGTTGGAGAAATTATCTGTAACAAAATAAATTGATTTTAATATATTAACATGTAAACATGTTGCAAATTGTCTGTATAAAGGAAACAGTCAGTCAGGCTGCCTATATATAATGAATAAAAGTAAATACTTACATTTCTGTGGAATTTGGTGAAAGAGTGGAACATATAAAATCTATGCATATAAACAATTGCTGTATTTATTGTAAGTTGTGAGCTGGAGAAAATGGGTTAAGGAATTCATGTATATTTCAATGTAAGCTGTTTCATCAATTAGCTTAAACGTATTTTAGTCCACAGATCACATTAGCTGTGTTTACAGTCAGCCCAAAACGGATATTTTTTGGTCAAAAGATAAATCAGTGAGAAAAACGATCACAATTACCATGTTTAAGCCATTAGCTACTTGATTAAATCAAGTGAATGAGATTGACACGACACACGGGTGACAAACGTAGCAACTCCTAATCATTTGATCCACGTTGGGTTGTCAATGCCGGCTAGGTACTAGTTACCTAGTTAAGGTACAGTAGCTAGATACAATCTTACATTTTATCCAGTAAGCAAAAAATACAAACATGGCAACCGTGCAAATGAAAATGACAAATACAACAATGCACGTTCTGCTTTACATGATGGAACTTGCTCGCGCTAACTAGAGATAGCTAGCTAAGCAACTTAGTCACAACGAACTAGCTGTCTTGACAGGACAGTTCAATGCTAGCTGGCTAGGGTTGGCGTGCTGGGGAGCTATCACTTGGCTAAGCGAAGGAACTATGATTCATCATAAAACAAAACACATCTACATTAGCTAGCTAACATTTCAGTTATGTAACTGACAAGTAGTGCGTTAGCTACTAACATGGCTAGCTCGCTAACTAGCGCCAGAGAAATGCCCTTCTTCATGTTGAATGTTGGTGGGTGATGTTTGCTAGTTAAACTTGGTTGTATCATTGCTACACAACACTGACACACCACGCTGGCACATTTGAAATCTTCTACTATGACAAAATAATTAGCATATCCTGCCTCTAGCGCGTGCCCCACCACCCGGGGAAACGGGCCTACAAAGAGCGCTATGTCTAACGTTATCCTCCTTTCTTCGACATGTCTGATGACTGCAAGCGTGTTTATAAAGGATACACGTTGAGTCTCTGGCCCATATCTTGAATGAGGTTAGCCGCCTGCTGTCGGTAAGATAGCTCCCTGTCCGGATCAACTCCCGAACGGCGGGACGGCGTGGTTTCGAGCTGCTCCCGGTTGAAAAACCATTTCGAAGAGGATCCCCGGCACGCCGCCATAGCTCTCCAGCATTCGCACAGGACGCCAAGGACCGAATGGACGCATGCGCGGCATGTACCGGAAACCACAATCGTTTGTTTTCTTCGATAGCTTTTTTTGACACGGCCAAACCAACTAGTAGTGCATTATCGCCACCATTCGTCCTGGAGTGTAAACTTCACAGAATGCAGCGATTCTGTTTTAATGTGTAGCTCAGTGCATACATGTGTATTAGTAGGCTTAATTCGGTTACAGCCTGCTAAAAGCAATATCAGAGAGGAAGAGGCGAATCTTGGCAATATGGGGTAGCAACGCCCAATGATCCCTCTACCTACGTGTCCTGATGGACAAAGATAGTGGATAAATGAAGATTTAAAAACAAAAATTGTTAACAGTCCCGGTCTGCTTAAGGGGTGGCTCTCCCATAGGCACCAATGCATTAGCAACTGGGTCTGGTCTGCTTAATTCATTGAATGTATATGTCTCGCTTCCTCTTCCATCTCTGCTGATGGAGGCCCAGCAATGGCAGTTCATGGTTGTGACTAGACGTACAGCCAGCAGGTTTAGAGACCATTTGAGCTAACCCTTTTCCTAACCTTAACCTAATTTTCCAGAACCTAAAAATAACATTTGTCAAGGAACAGAAACAGAACCTGGAACAAAAGTGATCCATACTGTTCCGGAACAGACCCGTTATTTTAAATGCATGGGAACCAATTAATAACGTTATTTTATGTTCCAGGCATTTTTTTCTAGTCCCACAACAAAACGCCTATGCAAAGCCCTCACTCTGTCCCTCAGAAACGTATTCCAGTGTCTGCCTGAAAGCTGAAAATCTTTGCCTGTGCGTGTTTATGCTACCTGCCCCTCCCCCCTTCGAATCATAGGCTACTGTACTGACTTTACAAGCTTGATTCAGATGAAAGAGGTTTTTAATTAGCTAGATAATGCATGTCATAACAAGATGCCCAGTGCGTCAAGCCTCCTCCTCAACCCTCTCTAGCTCTCACCCCACCCGCAAAATGTCAGTTGCATCTTGAGCCATAGGCTATACTTTGTCTGTCCATCACGCATGTAAACGACCCATGGGGCGGCGCGCACAATTGGCCCAGCGTCGTCCAGGGCTGGGGAGGGATTTGGCCGGCAGGGGATGTAGCTCAGTTGGTAGAGCATGGCGTTTGCAACGCCAGGGTTGTGGGTTCGATAAAATAATGTAAGCACTAACTGTAAGTCGCTCTGGATAAGAGCGTCTGCTAAATGACTAAAATGTAAATGTAAATGTAAACAACTAGCTTGCCTGCTCTATCCACACCTGATTGTTTAAGTAATTTAATGAGCTAAATGTAAAAAACTGTTGATTTCACAGGTTAAAAAAGGAACAGAAAGGAATTAACCAGTACTTTTTGTTATAAATAATATAAATAAATTGTTAAGTTATAAAGGCTTTATAACTATAGAACTATCTACAACAACTAGCCTATAAACTGAAGCAAGCACACACCATTTCTGAACCTACTCTAGTTTATATTTCCATTGAGTAAATAATGCTCTCTTTGAAATGAACCTTACATTTTAATTAGTCGATAAACAGCAAAAATAGTGTTGACCACAGATGACTTTCAACAGTGTAAACAAAAATGAGAAATTAGCTAAATAGATTAAAAGTATCTTCATAATTAAATAGGTACGTTTGAGTCACGCAATAGGTTGTATCTGTAACACGTGTACCAATACTAAGAGTAATTAGAAATTCAAACGTTGTTGTCCCTTTTGTTTTGACAAGATCTTCATGCTTTAAGTCATTCAAATTGTTCTCTTTTAAGCCCTAAAAAGTCCAGTGTATTCCATGCAAGCAGTTTGTCCTGAAAAGGAAAAGCAAACAACTGAACATTCCTAAACCAGGACCTCCTTATTATTTTACTACAGACAATGTTTGCAAGGGAAAGCAAGCACGTGTGGGTTACCTTTAGACATTTACATTTACATTACATTTTAGTCATTTAGCAGACGCTCTTATCCAGAGTGCATACATTTTCATACTGGCCCCCCGTGGGAAACGAACCCACAACCCTGGCGTTGCAAGTGCCATGCTTTACCAACTGAGCTACAGGGGACTACACTTGACCGACTAATTTATGTGTTCAATATCATCAACAATAAAAGGGTGTGATGTGTGCCATTGTCTCAATAGAAAACCATTCCTTAGCTTGCGTTACTTTTATCAGGTGGTGCAAAGGCCGATAATGCAAAAATAGCTACTACCATTGACAGCTGGCCAAATATCATGAAGCAGGCACGCCAGTTTGCCTGGGGAACAGACAAATTTGATTTGAAGAAGCCAGCTATCACCTTTTGAGTCATTTGACAGCTCTTTATTTGATGCTTGCTCGAGCGAGTTAACAGGGCTGGCTAGCATTCGCTGCGCTCTTGCACGCCACAAAGACAAGACAAGAGAGGGAGCTACAGTACTTTAGCTAGCAGGCTACATAGCATAGTTTGAGATTACCTGTGGACTGTTTTTGAATGTCTCCTCGATCGGTAATTTATCTATTCCCACCATCAAACTCCTTCATGGTCTCTTTTATGATCCGGGCTGCAGCTCACCCAGTGGGAATGAATAGTCTGTTCCTAACATCACCTTATCCTATGGGATAAAATAATAATAACTGAGCCAATAGGTACAATAATACACACACACACACGTAAACTCTGCCATACTAACTTCAAACTTTCAAGACTTTTAATCTACTTAGCTAGTAATGAGAAATGTATTTTTCTAGATCAGTGAATCTACTGTAACTACATTGCCACTTAGAAATGAGACACAAATCACTGCATACCTTTCCGATCATATCAATAAGTGGCTTGAGGGCGATGGGGTCATGCACTCGGGCAGGGTTTCCCAAACTCGGTCCTGGGGTCCCCGTGGATGCATGTTTTGTTTTTTGTCCTAGCACTACACAGCTGATTCAAATATCCAACTCATCATCAAGCTTTGATTATTTGAATCCGCTGCGTCGTCTGTAAAGTAAACAAAGTCATATTCAAGATATTGTTAGCATAAATAAGTACAGTAGAATGACTCCATCTACACTGAATGTTTTCTTAGATGATGCTTTTACTTGTCCAGTTATTAGTGCAGATTGCATGTACATATTTAGCATTTAGCTGTCGACACTATCCTGATTAAGAGAAGGACAAGGACGCGTAGCCAATTAGACTATTAGGATGTTCCCCTTGTTTGTTTGTCACCGTTTACTGACTGACTGGAGTTGTACTTACTGCAGTGATTTTAGGAATTCCAGTGGAATGGATCTTTAATAGTGTTTAAAAAGAAGGCAACATACTGGTTATGATTGATTATCTTATATTTGATTAGCAGACGTCTCAATGGCACAATGTTAACATGAAAACATGTCTGTCTTACCTCCTGATGTGATTTTTAGAAGCTTGGCTCGCATATCTGGTGTTGCTGGAAGTTGATAGAAAGACACCCATAGGCCTACACCACAGCAGCCTGGTATTCACATGGAAGAAAAACAGAGAATAAACAATCACATCATTTAGACAATCACATCATTTAGAATATACATGATTTGTTCCACAATCTCCACACATCTTTGAGTAGGTAGGTGGAACACACTGAGCAAACTTGGTCATCCTTACTGTGGTCTGTGCTTATCAGACCTCTTTATTGAAAAGGGGGATCCAGTCTTGAGGAAACTACAGTTTTGCCATCCATGTTCCCTGAGGCATATCTCTTATTTCAATGTGTGGTGTGGATGCAGTGGGGAACATGGGGCCACAAGGGAAGTGTCACAATAGAGAATGATAGAAAAAGCATCCCTATATCGTTATGGAGTATGTGAGCGCACAAGCAGCGCCTTTGTTCTTTTTCTTCAATGAGGTTTTATGGCGGTTGTCATCCAATATGTTGCATTTCTTTAATGAGTCCGATGCGAAGGATATCCTGTTTCTCCGAGACCAGGCCCAAATCCCCATCATTCACGTGAAGAAAAGACGGAGGTACAGGGGGCGGAGATCGGGGTGCCTTGTGAGAATTAGTCGGGGAGTGGGTAACCCGCCTCTACCATCTGTTCTATTGGCAAAAGTGCAATCATTGGAGAATAAACTGGATGAGCTCCGTTCAAGACTATCCTACCAACGGGACATTAAAAACTGTCATATCTTATGTTTCACAGAGTCGTGGCTGAACGACAACACGGATAATATACAGTTGGCTGGGTTTTCAATGCATCGGCAGGACAGAACAGCTACGTCCGGTAAGACGAGGGGTGGTGGTGTGTGTCTATTAGTCAATAACAGCTGGTGTACATTGTCTAATATTAAGGAAGTCTCGAGGTATTGCTCGCCTGAGATAGAGTACCTCATGATAAGCTGTAGACCACACTATCTACCAATAATTGTCATCTATATTTTTCGTAGCAGTCTATTTACCACCACAAACCGATGCTGGCACTAAGACCGGACTCAACTAGCTGTATAAGGCCATAAGCAAACAAGAAAATGCTCATCCAGAAGTGGACTTACAGTTAGTGAGTTCATACATTTTTCATACTGGCCCCCCGTGGGAATCGAACCCACAACCCTGGCGTTGCAAGCGCCATGCTCTACCAACTAAGCTACAGCAGGCAAACTTAAATCCATTTGACCTACTCCACACAAAGACGCATACATTTACATTTTAGTCATTTAGCAGACGCTCTTATCCAGAGCGACTTACAGTTAGTGAGTACATACATTATTTTTTACTGGCCCCCCGTGGGAATCGAACCCACAACCCTGGCGTTGCAAACGCCATGCTCTACCAACTGAGCTACATCCCTGCATACAAAGCTCGCCCTCGCTCTCCATTTGGCTTACAAGAAAAAAACTAAAGCAGGAAGTACCAGTGACTCGCTCAATACGGAAGTGGTCAGATGACACGGATACTACGCTACAGGACTGTTTTGCTGTTTTGGCTCAAGATCCCTCCCACTTGACCCATCTTCCTCTACTT